TTTGGTCTCTGCACCATTCTAAGGCTAGCTTCTCTTACAGTTCTAAAATGGCTGTCAGCATCTCTCTTTTGTCTAGCAAGAAAGAGAATATCAGCATTCTCTGCAAAAGTCCTGAGAATTATTCAACTGAGCTACCCTAGGATCAGTGCCCACCCTGACAAAGCATTCAGTGCAAAGGGATGAAATATACTGATATGACACAGTTACGTCACCTCTGAAGGGAGAGTGAAGTCAACTTCTCTGGAAACGTATGAATCCCTAAGGAGAAAATGATGCTATTGGGAATGGGAAGGGGAGTTTTAAAGAAACTAAAAGTTTTTAAACACAATTTGGCATCATACTAGACATGTTCAAACAGCACGTTTTAAGTCATTCTCTTTCGTTTTTCTGTTTTTTATTCAACTTTGATTAGACTTTATAGATGGCCCAGTTTCCACTTTTTCAAGGAAGATCATTCTCAAAATTTCACTAGGGAATATATAATAGGCATTAAAAATGATGATATAAATCTATCCATATGAATATAATTGTTTATAGATTAAAAAGGTAATATATTATTAAATGAAAAGTTACTAAAATCATGTATAAAACTCATATGTATAATCCTATTTTTCTTAATCTTTATTTGCACAAAATGATACATATACTGTATAATGTTAAATAAGTTATACATAAGAATGATTTTTACTTTCTTCGTTCCTTTCTGTATTAACTGAATATGTTATCATTGTTATTTATTACTTTCATAGAAGGAAACATTAGCACTACTTCATTTTAATTCACCAGGAATCCACATGTACATCATATTGCCTCAACATATATCCTACATGATGTTTGTCATTGTATCAAACCATTTGATTTGTTTCTCCTGTCAATTTTGATCAGCTGGACTTGAGGGAAATGGGGATATCAGTATTCCTGAAGTTTATAAATCCCATTTATTTGTAAATGAAAGTTACAATTAGCTGGGCATGGTGCTCACACCTGTAATCCCAGCACTTTGGGAGGCTAAGGCAGGTGGATCACGACCAAGAGGTGGAGACCATCCTGGCCAACATGGTGAAACCCTGTCTCTACTAAAAATACAAAAATTAGCTGGGCATGATGGCATGTGCCTGTAGTCCCAGCTACTTGGGGGCTAAGGCAGGAGAATTGCTTGAACCTGGGAGGCGAAGGTTGCAGTGAGCTGAGATCGCACCACTGCACTCTGGCCTGGACGACAGAGCGAGATTCCATCTTAAAAAAAAAAGAAAAAGGAAGTTATGATTGATTTACAGTTTTCCCTCCATTATTCTGCGTTACTTTTAAATTTTCTTCCGTTTTTCCAGTTAATAGTATAGAATAAGTCAGCATCTCTGTCACCCAGGCTGGAGTGCAATGGCACAATCTCAGCTCACTGCAACCCCTGCCTCCTGGGTTCAAGCACTTCTCCTGTCTCAGCCTCCATGGTTACAGGTGCACATGGTTACAGGTGCGCACCACCATGCCCAGCTAATTTTTGTATTTTTAGTAGAGGTGGAGTTTCTGGCCAGGCGAGGTGGCTCACGCCTGTAATCCTAGCACTTTGGGAGGCTGAGGCAGGCGAATCACAAGGTCAAGAGATGGGGACTATCCTGGCCAACACGGTGAAACCCTGTCTTGTCTCTACTAAAAATGTAAAAATTAGCTGGGTGTGGTGGTGCACACCTGTAGTCCCAGCTGCTTGGGAGGCTGAGGCAGGAGAATTGCTTGAACCCAAGAGGTGGAGGTTGCAGTGAGCCAACATTGCGCCACTGAACTCTAGCCTGGCAACAGAGTGAGACTCCATCTCAAAAAAAAAAAAAGCCAGGGTTTCACCATGCTGGTCAGGCTGGTCTCGAACTCCTGACCTCATGATTTGCCTATCTCAGCCTCCCAAAGTGCTGAAATTACAGGCATGAGCTACTGTACAGGATCTCGGGGCTGAGGCCTACATTCCACAGGAACTAGATGCAAGGTACTACAACTCCTGAATCAGGAGGAGAGGCACTTGCTCCCAGCCTGCCATACAGCGTATGCCCTTTCAGGCAGGGACACCACCACCTGGATCTTTGGTTCTCATCCTGGCCTGGCTGTTTTCTCATGTACTGCTTCTGTTCTGTGACTGCTCTAGACATTCCTCCTACTACAAACTACTATATGGTTATATAGAAGGATTCTATATATAATCAGCACTAAATGTGTCAGTACAGCTCCAACTACAATACCTATATGATTATATAGAAAGATTATATAGAACTAAGTATGCTAGATATATGTAAGCAGTGAGTTACACTTCAAGCACTAATTCTATAAACTAATAGATGATTATGGATGAAGGATTATATAAAGGAAACAGCTGAGCAATAACACTATAAACTAAGATATCCTTCAGGCACTAGTTGTGCCTGAGGTCTGGACAGTTCTCCTTCCTTGGTGCCCATAGCGGGTGTTACCCACATTTTGTCATGTTGCTCAGGGTGGTCTTGAACTCTTGGGCTCAAGTGATCTTCCTGCCTCGCCTCCCAAAGTGCTGGGATTACAGGCATGAGCCACCTTGCCCTGTCCTTCCTCCTCTTTAGCCCTATCAGTAATTGAGTCCCATCAGTTCTCTTTCTGTAATGTCTCTCAGACCTATTACATTCTTTTCACTGCCATCACCCAAGAGTAGGTCTTCATTTCCTTATGTCTTGGTTCTTCCCCAAGTCGCTACACTGTTTTTCTTGTCTTCAGTCTCTCTTTCAACTAATCATGGTACAGTTTCCAGATTGCACATCCACAAATAGTGTGATCATTAGGACATGTTCCTGGGGGGAAAGAAAAGTTAAATTTTGTTTGTTTGTTTCTTTTGTTTTTGAGACAGAGTTTCGTTCTTGTTGCCCAGGCTGGAGTGCAATGGCTCAATCTCAGCTCACTGCAACCTCCGCCTCCTGGGTTCAAGCAATTCTCCTGCCTCAGTCTCCCAAACAGCTGGGACTACAGGCATGTGCCACCATGTCCAGCTAATTTTTTTTTCTTTTTCTTTTTTTTTTTTTCTGTATTTTTAGTAGAGACGGGGTTTCACCATGTTGACCAGGATGGTCTCGATCTCTTGACCTCGTGATCCACCCGCCTCGGCCTCCCAAAGTGCTGGGATTATAGGCGTGAGCCATCGCGCCGGGCCAAAGTTAAAAATGTTTTACTGTGGCCAAAGGATAAGGTTCAAACTCTAATCCAAGGAACCTCCTACAAGTTTACCATAACTTACCTTTCCAGGCCTCTCTTCCAGTATTCCCCTAATAATCAATGCTCAATAAGTATTTATTTAATTGAATTAATCTTCATAGTTTCTAAACAAAAATCCTTTTAGCATTGAGATAATTGAGATATGCAGATTTTTTTTCTTTAGCAGGCAGATTCAAGGGAAACAAAGCAGTTAAAGTGAGCAAAGTAGAGAACAGAGAAGCAAAGAGAACCAGAGCAGGAATGCATGCCTTTTCATAGTTTCAATTTCTGCTCATTTTCTCCTGCTAAGTTTCAGATCCTTTAACCTACCCTAGCTTACTGTAATTTTTCTTAGTAAGCCACACAATTTTGTATCTTTCCACCAAGATGGCTCAGATGATAGGAAGACACTGAAATTGTCATGCAGAGAAGTGTTTAAGATAGAAAGCAAGATAAAAGGTTTTAAAGGACAAATGCTGTGGATATCTTAAGTGGGATCAGATATAAATATTTTTAAATTTGAAATAATTTTTATTTAAAAAGGCTAACTCAGTTGCACGATTTATTCAGATTTCAAAGTGAAGCACTATATTTAACATACTGTAACTATATAGGTTTGTTGTCTGATGCCCATGCCAAGTTAATACACTGGGACACCAGGTTGCAGAAAAGAAAGAGGTTTAATCAAACACAGATGGACGGAAACCTCAAATCTGTCTCCAGGAGGACTTTGAGGCTCAGGTTCTTAAGGGTTTTGGAGTGGTCTGAAGTGTGGAGATCATTAGTTAAGTCGTCAAAGAGTGCTGGGCGAAGTCCTGGGACACGGAGATTAAGACTCATGCTGATTACCTTCTTCTGCGGGGCGGGGGTAGGGGCACGGGGAGGGGTCTTCAAGCTGCTTGGCATCAGCTGTTTGGCTGGAATTTGGAGTCTGAAAAACATCTTAAGCAATTCTTAAAAGCCTTATGAGTCTAACGTCAGAAATCCTAACTATAGGAACAATGGGGATGCAAATGTGCTATCTAGCGCTACCTGACTTTCGGGTACAAGGAAGTGGGTCAAAGTGTAGCCTAATTAATGCTTAATTATATTTGTCCAGAATTCTTATAAATCCTGTGAGAATAGCTTCAATACCTTTATTTCAAGAAGCTTTGGAAGTTTTCCATCAATACAACCAATTTCCCTTCAGTGTACTGAAAGGATAGGCATCTAATTCCCCACCCCCGCCCCGCAATAGAATAGCAGCAGTCACGGACAGGGCCCTGATTCTAAAGCAAGCCCAGGGAAAAGGGTTTACGTTTTAATCTCTTGATTTAGGAAGGTCACGGTCACTGCCCCGGTGAGGGTGGAAAGCAGGATTTGCTTTGAAACTCTATGCTATAAAAGTTCTGGGCTAACCAGGAACGAAACTAGCAGATCACAAGGGGTTGGGGTTAAGCGGAAAGACAAGCTCGCTCTGCGTCTGAACTTAGGGAGAGGGAAAAAGAGACCGGACACCCCCGCGGCGACTGCCATTTTGTGGGAGCCGGGAGGCCGGAAGTCCCGCCCCGGAGTATCGCAGCTGGGCGACTCCCAGCCGGCGGGGCGGGAGGCGGGGGCGGGGAGGCGGGGGCGGGGAGCGAAGGCGGAGTTGGGAAGCGTGTGCTTTCGAGGCCCTAGGCCGTGGGTAGGGCTTGAGGGCGGGACCGGGACTCTGGCCTCCAGGCTCGGGGCTGTGGGCGGGACTTGGGGCGGGGCGGGGCCCGTCTGGCGTGAGGTTCGGGCTGGGGGCGGGCCCCGAGGGCGGGCGGGGGCGGGGCCTCCCGGCCGGCGAGCTGCTGCGCTGACAGGGCCGCAGCGGCTAACCCCACCTCACTTTATCAGAACGTGCCTGAGCTGCTGCACCTGGCAGCCGGCACCCGGCACCCGGCTGCGCTCGGCGAAGAGGGCTGGGGGCGGGAGATGACAAGTGGTCTCCTCCCTGCTTGGCCCTCTGCGAGCACCAGCTACCTTCTCCTCCTGACCCCACGGTTGCAGACGAAGCAGGTGAGAAGGGCTCCTGGAGCGCGGATCTGCCGGGTCCTGTCTCTGTCTTGCGGGCACGGGGTACCCCTACCCCTGCCCCTCGGGTCTGGGCATGTGGGCAGCCGCCGACCCTCTGCGCCCCGGCCCCGCGGCCCGTTGTCTGGACCTACGGTCTGTGCTCCGCAGCGCCTGCCTTTGGAATGTGTGAGATCACCCGGGAAGGCTCGCGCGGGGGAAGGGGTGTCTCGTCCCCTCCGGAGATAGGACTGCCATCCCTAGTTTGGGAAGCTCCTCACTGCCTGGGCATCCACCCTGTCATTCTTAGACTCTTCCCTTTATCCCAAGGGTACCCTTGGTATCCTGGCCCTCCTGAAGGCTTCTTCCCAGGCACCTAGAGCATTGCGCCAAAATTTCTCCCTTATTCATTTTTGGACCATGCTAGTTACCATGACGTGGTTCCCACGCTCTGGGAAGACGAGCGACCACCTTTTTCGTACCCGAAGCACAGACCCCTGGCTGCCTTTTCACTTCCACTGCTGCCTTCCCAGGCTTTGGCTGGCAGCTGTTCTCCGAGCAGCCTGTTTGGTTAGGAACTCTCTGCGCCCCTCATCTCGGAGGGCCACAGTCTGTCTCTGCAGACGAGGCAAGGAGGCAGTGCTCAGCCGTCCCTACACTGGGTCTCTAGGGAGGACATTTGGTCCCCTGCAAGTAGGTGGGAGTGGGTGAATGGTGTGACTGTTGATGTTGAAGAGTGCTTTAATAGTACCACACTGTATTACACTTATCCCATGGGATAAAGGATATTGGCTATTTGAGAAATAGCCTGAGAGTTTCAAGCTTTCTCTATGAAGTTAGTCAACCCTCTCCTTCCCCCGACCCTCCGTTTTCACTTAATAGCAGGTATTTACGATATCAGTGGTTCATTTATGTGATCTAAGCCAAATATGTCGTGGCCAGAAGCGGTTTGTAAGTACCGCAGCATTTCTCCAGTGGGTGCCTCAGCGAGTGGTCTTTTATTGTGAACGTGTTTGTTCTGTAACAAGCTTTGTTTTTTACAGATGAAAAGGCTAGATGTAATTTTTTTACTTCCTTTGCTCTGGTTCCTGTTCATTTTAAAATATGCTTTAGAAAGCATATTATCTTCCCGTTTAAAAAAGATTAGGATGAGATGAAACTGTTTTTAAGTCGTTTTGATTATTTTGACTTTCCCTCAGCAGGTATTTCTTTTATAATATTGAAAAATATTAAAAGAAACTTCATGGGGAGGGGCAGATTACTTCTTTTTTTTTTTACATTTTCAACGAATTGAAAGTTAAACCTGGACATTGCTACAACTATTTGACCATCGCCCTGAGAAAAATGAAGAGCACCACTTTCACTGTTAACCATTTACAATCAAGCCAAATTAAATTCAGCTTGGCTTAATTGTTTGGTATAAAGCAAAAACTGATGAATTTATGATGCATCCCATCTCTCTCTTTTTAGTTGGTGGATCTTTTACCTGGTATGTTTGAGGGACTAACATGTTTGCTTTTTTATCATTATTAGTAGTAAGACAACAGTTCTAATGCAATTGCTGCTATTTCTTGAAGGCCTACTACAAAAATATAAAATATTCTGTCCACACAATATCCCTCTAAGAAGATCTTTGTTTGAGACAGGGTCTTACTCAGGCTGGAGTGCAGTGGCGTGATCATGGCTCACTGCAGAGACGTCCTTGGCTCAGGTGATCCTCCCACCTCAGCCTCCCGGGTAGCTGGGACAACAGGCACACAAGACTATGCTCAGCTAATGTTTTGTAGAGACTAGGGTTTCGCCATGTTAGCCAGGCTCGTCTCAAACTCCTGGGCTTACACAATCCACGGGCCTGGGCCTCCCAAAATGCTGGGATTACAGGTGTGAGCTGCTATGCCCGGCCCCTCCAAGGAAGTTTTTACTCTCATTTCACAGTTGAGGAAACAAAGGTTCAGAAAGGCTAAGAAACTTAGGAGTTGATAAGCCATAAAGCCCAGAATCTGTTTGACTCTCCACTGAACTTCTACTAGTATAGTTAAAATTGTTGGTTAGAAAAGGTATTGGAATGCATTGACATGCTCGTGTGGTACAAGTAAGGACATGTAGGCAGAATAAGTTATTAATACTCCAGGCACTTTTAAAAGTGAACAAAAGACTGGCGTAACCTATTACCTTCTTCTCTAACACTGCGTTTCCAAGTACACGGTTTCTTAATGGCTCCAAATGTTTAACACCTTTGTTTAATTGTATACGAGCTCTTTACTTCAAGTATTGGTGTTTGTACCAACCGGTAGCTTTCCCAGGATATAATTTGACACTTATTTGGTAAACTTCAAGTATGTGAGTGTTGCAGGTTTCATGTAGTATATTGACCACTCCTATCTAATCCTAATAGAAAAATACTTGTCTTAATCGAGATTAAATATAAGGTGTTTAAGTGGTTCGGTTTATACAAGGGTAGCACAGAGAAAATTCCCTTATACCCCTGCCAGGTGGCAGTTGTTGGTGATCTCTGGGCTGCCATCTAAGTCATTTTAATGTGATGTAGATGTTTGAGAACTTAACCTGAGCATTGTAAATTTCCAGAAGCATGAGCTTTTTACTTTCTACCTTATATATGTCTATTTTAGATGGTAAACCCAGAATAATCACTTCGATATTGACAGTTGTCATCATATTAATTTCAAGATACTAAAAAAGCTGATTATTTTTAGAGTTATCCAGATACGTTCATTGTGTTTCTGGCAGCAGGAGGGAGTCTGATAATTATTGAACTATTCCCTTAAATAATTTGTTCCATGCTTTAGCATTTTCTGAACCTCTTTAGAACATTTTACAAAACATTTTGTATTTTGTAACATTTTATGAACACCTTTAGACACGTTTTATGTTATTGGTTCTGTTGCTATAGTGAAAAACTTAGAATACTTTATCATACAGGAAAAAAAAATTCTGTCCATGAACTAAATAGTGCCTGAAAGAGAACATTGATCCATGAAAGGGTAAAAGGTTTATTTAAGTGTAAATTATTATAGTTATTCATTAAAAAATTTTTTTTCTGTCTCTTGTGTGCCAGGTTCTGTCCTGGATGTTAGAAACACAACAGTGAGCAGAAACATGCATAGTTCCTGCTTCCACAACACTTGAGTGAACTGTATGTGCAAAGTCTCTGTGGCACAAAGGTACTGTGGGGCCAGTGTGTGTGGCTGGTATAGAAGGAACTAAAGGTATATTGATGGGATGTCATCATTTTTTCTCTTTCATTCTACCAAAAGTTATATTTAACTCTGGTTAAGTAATGACTGTTCTAGACGTGATTAAAGACTTCAGTTGAATAATCTCAAGTTCTTATGTGGTAGGTATTACTATTATTGCCATTTTACAGGTGAAGAAGGTGATGTACAGAAAAGTTAAAGTTAATTGGTTCAGGTTGGGCATGGTGGCTCCTGTCTATAATCCCAGCACTGTGGGAGGCTGAGGCAGGCAGATCACCTAAGGTCAGGGGTTCAAGACCAGCCTGGGCAACATGGTGAAACCCCATCTCTACAAAAGCAGAAAAATTAGCCAGGGGTGGTGGCACACAGATTGCTTCAACCCAGGAGGCGGAGGTTGCACTGAGCCGAGATTATGCCACTGCACTCTAGCCTGGGCAACAAAGCAAGACCCTGTCTTTAAAAAAAAAAAAAAAAAAAAAAGTTAATTGATTTAAAGTTGATTAGTGTTGGTCTACTATACTCTTCTTCCCATCCTATACTCAAGTATGAACACAGGCTGGAAAGGACTCTCTGGCCCCTGGGTGCCTCCTCAACGTATCCTTGAGAACTTCTGAGATTTCCAGAGAATTTAGATGCAGGGGGACATTCAGCAGAGACTGTGAACTCAATGCCCTTATCCACCAGGTGGAGCTCAATTGTTGGAGAGAATCACTGGCGAGAACCACAGGGCATCACTGAAGCTCTAATATTTGTGGATCTTATTTTACTTATGTCTAATATTGAATATAGAACAGCAACATAAATATTTTGAGCTGAACTGCCTTTGAGAGTGAAGTGGTTATTTTTAGCAACTCCCCACTTTTTTTGCCATTGTATTTTCCCCGGTGGTAGTTGAAGACAGTATATCTATTTATTTGGCCATTTAATAAGTAAATGGCCATTATATTTTTTCAACTAGAATTCTTATTGATGGCCATACTGAATCTTTCTTCCTTTCTTTCCAGAGATCTGGTTGGAGTTGGAGGGTGAGAGAAAATGAATTCTTTTTCTAATTTACCTGCAGAGGACTTAACCATTGCAGTCAATATGACCAAGACTTTGCCTACAGCAGTAACCCATGGATTTAATTCCACTAATGACCCACCTTCAATGTCAATTACAAGGCTTTTTCCAGCCTTACTAGAATGCTTTGGCATTGTCCTTTGTGGCTACATAGCAGGAAGGGCCAATGTCATAACATCCACACAGGCCAAAGGACTGGGAAATTTTGTCTCCAGATTTGCACTTCCGGCTTTATTATTCAAAAACATGGTTGTACTTAATTTTTCCAATGTGGATTGGTCCTTCCTATACAGCATCTTAATTGCCAAAGCCTCTGTATTTTTCATTGTATGTGTATTAACCTTATTGGTTGCCAGTCCTGACAGTAGATTTAGCAAAGCTGGACTATTCCCTATTTTTGCTACACAAAGTAATGACTTTGCATTGGGATACCCTATAGGTAAGTTATTTTTTATTTTTCAAGTGTTTTATAAATTCAATTTTAATTTGTTTGGGCATTTGTCAGTGACAGAGTCTTACTCTTATATCTAATAAGTTTTTCGACCGGGCATGGGAGCTCACGCCTGTAATTCCAGGACTTTGGGAGGCTGAGGCGGGTGGATCACCTGAGGTCTGGAGTTAGAGACCAGCATGACCAACATGGAGAAACCCCATCTCTACTAAAAATACAAAAATTGACTGGGTGTAGTGGCGCATGCCTGTAATCCCAGCTACTCGGGAGGCTGAGGCAGGAGAATCACTTGAACCCTGGAGGCAGAGGTTGCAGTCAGCCGAGATGGCGCCATTGCACTTCCCCCTAAGTAACAAGAGTGAAACTCCATCTAAAAAAAAAAAAAAGTTTGGCCAGGTGCAGTGGCTGACACCTGTAATCCCAGCACTTTGGGAGGCCGAGGTGGGCAGATCACGAGGTCAAGAGATTGAGACCATTCTGGCCAACATGGTGAAACCTTGTCTCTGCTAAAATTACAAAAATTAGCTGGGCCTGGTGGCGGGCACTTGTAGTCCCAGCTACTCGGGAGGCTGAGGCAGGAGAATTGCTTGAACCCGGGAGGCGGAGGTTGCAGTGAGCCGAGATTGCACCACTGCACTCCAGCCTGGCGCCTGGCGACAGACCGAGACTCTGCCTCAAAAAAAAAAAGAGTTTTTTATTTTTTTCTAAAATATGTCTTAGTATGAATCACAGTTTTTCCTGAACTTCAGAGTTTGAGGATCCTTTAAACATCTACCTACAATAAATGGTTATATCCTAATAACCTAATTGTATTTTTTTCTTCTCAGTCATATGTAAAAGAAGCTTAATTTTTAGAAAGGATCTGATTCTGATTTAAATTATGTTTAAAAAAAAAGGTTTATGTCTGTATAAAAATAGTTATTAAGAGTTTGTGGAAGGAATTAACTTTTCTTAGCATTTAGAATACATATTATTTTGTTCTGGGGTCAGATGCAGTGACTCAAACCTATAATACCAGCACTTTGGGAGGCCGAGGCAGGCGGATCACTTGAGCCTAGGAGTTCGAGATCAGATCTATATAAAGTTCAAGATCATCTCTATGAAAAATAACAACAACAAATTAGTCAGCTATGGTGGCACCGGCCTGTAGTCCCAGCTACCCAAGAGGCTGAGGCAGGAGGATCACTTGAGCCTGAGAGGTAGAGGTTGCAGTGAGTCAATATCACACCACTGCACTCCAGCCTGGGTGACAAGAGTGAGACCCTGTCTCAAATTTAAAAAAAAAAAAAAATTGTTTTTAAGCTTGTTATTCAAAATTTTAATGTATTTTAGTTGGAGTTAATTTCTTAAGAACAAAAATGGTGAGAGCTTTTTTACCTCTCTAACGTCTCCTTTTTTATGTTTCTGACTCTTTTAGCAGCTTAATGTTATGTTTTTATGTGTATATGTTTTCCTGATGAAACAGTAAACATACCAGTTTGGGATATTGACATATCTTTAAAGGAAACATTCTCTATTTCAGAACACTCTGTCACCAAGACAATGTATACCTAGTAGCTACTTTTTTAAATTGTAAATTAAAGCTATATATACTTTGATCATGTATCAAGTATGATGACCTGATATTATAGATATATTCATTCATTGATCCATTCATTCACTCATAAGGAGCTGTTTCGCACCAGTGGCTGTGCTAACCATTGGGAATACAGCTGTGCTCTTGCACATATTAAATTTACATTGTAATGGGAGAATAATAAAATTAAAATCATGCCAGCTGGTGGTGACAGGGTCATAAAAATAAAGTCACATAGAGGGATAGGAATGAGGAGGTGCTATTTGAGATAGGGAGGTCAGTTAAGCCCTCTCTGATGATATGTCTCCTGAGCAGAGACTTGAGCCTATTGAAGTATACAATTGAAATCTACTATTAACTTACAAGTTTTTATCTAATAGTTTTATCCTCTCCCCTGAAACTCCAACTTGTTTCACTACTGGCACCAAAAAGATTCTAGTTAACTATACTTTTCACCTTTCTCTCTACTTTTGGCCTTCCTCTATCTTGCTTACTAGAGAGAAACACCTAAGAAGTTAAATAACTGTGAGTGAAGTTGGAGGTTTAAGAGAGAGGGAAAAGTAGGCTCTTAGATAATTGAGCTACAAATAGAAACTAGATAGGTATTCTTTTAAGGTTATTGAATTTTAAAAGGAAATAAAGACTTTTGGAAAGAAAACAGCAAGAAGTTAACATGTTTGTCCATTTCCCCAGGAGAATTAATAAGTTCAAGGTATTTATGGTATAAAGACCTTAGAACTGACTCAGTACAGTACCATAGTTTTAAATGTCTGATAAATATTGCCGTATCTTACGTTAGACATAAATAGGAGTATATAGTTTCATGCTCTCATAGGTTAGTAAGCCGATAATGAAATAGAACTAACATTTCTAACTGTATAGTTTACAGAGTACTTTGTTATATACTTATCTCATTTGAGTAGGGCAGATATTATTATCCTCATTTTCAAATAAGGAAACAGGCTTACAGAGATTTAATTATTTTGTCCCAGGTCACACAACTAGCAGGTAACTGAGACCCAAACCTAGGTCTTCTGGTTGCAAATCCCGGGCATTCTCTTATGCCATGCAATTACATAATGTGTCAGTTCAATCTTCAGAAAACCCACCCAGCCTTGTAATATACTAGTTTCAGAAAGAATCAAAAGGTCTTTTCCTCTAAAATATTCCATAAAATGAGTAGTAGTGGAAAAAGACCTATTAGAACAGTTAATCTATTGTCATATTGAGGCAGACTTTCCAAATAAAAAATGTAATCAGCCATTTTATCACTGCTTTTCTTATGTCCCGCATTAAATCAGTAAATCTGGTAATAATCACGTTTCTAGCCATGTGTCAGCCCAAATTTCCCTGATGGTTGTTTGTTGATTTCAAGGTATAATTTTTGTTTTTGTGTTTTTGTTTTTTAAATCACAATAATGAAAGCTTTTGTAACATTAAGTTGTAGAATATAACTTTGCTAAAAAAAACTATATTAGACAAATGCTTTTTCATATACCTAGACAAATATATTAGACAATATATTAGACAAATGCTAATATATTGTCAATATATTAACAATATATTAGACAAATGCTTTTTCATATACCTAGGTGTAGAACTATTAGGGTGAGTATCTCTGCCTGATGAGGTAATGTATTACTGCTGCTGTGCCATCTGCCTCCTGACCTTGTTCTTGGTGAACAGAGAAAGAATGCTGTCTCCAGAGAGAAGACCTTTCTTTCTTTTGTTTCCTGGCCTCTCCAAGGACTTCATACTCCCCTGCTCACAGATGAGCACTGATGGGTCACAAGAAATGTCCTTTTTAAGACTGCATTTGTTCTTCATCTGTCCAATTGGCAGTTAACAAAGGAAATGCTGGCAAGGAGAAGACATCTAAGTTAATGAATAAAGAAAAAGGATAGTCATGTTTTCTTTCGATACATACTATGACAACTGCAACAGTCAATGAAATTATATTAAAATGATATATTTTTACTCAAGTAACAGAATAGTGCATATAGCAACTAAAAAAGAAGGCTGGACCCCATGGCAGCTCATGCATGTAATCCCAAGGTTTTGGGAGGCCGTGGCAGAAGGATCCCTTGAGTCTAGGAGTTTGAGACCATCCTGGACAACATAGTGAATCCCTGTCTCTACAACAACAGCAAAATTAGCCAGATATCGTGGCGTAAGTCTGTAGTCCCAGCTACTTGGGAGGCTGAGGCAGGATGATCTGTTGATCACAGGAGTTCGAGGCTGCAATGAGCTATGATTGCCACTGTACTTAAGCCTGAGTGACAGTGAGACCCGTCTCTAAAAAAGAATAATAAAAGCTCACTGTGTTTTAGAGCAATTGTTTCCTAAAGTACTTTTTAAAATCCAAGTATGAGAAGAAACCAAGAATCTTCCATGGCAAAATGTTGATTTTAGCATATTAGAATGGTTCTCTGCCTCTGTCATTAAAAGATACTAATAGGGCATAGTTAAGTCCTATAATTTATTCTTCAAACAATGCTGATAGCATTAGTACCCTGACTAATCGTAATTATGCTCTAGTGCTTGAGCTGTAAACAGAAAGGAAATGAAGCATTTAACTATATGCCATTACATAATAGAATGATCTTGTCTGGGTCTTTGTGTTATATGCTAGGGATGGAAACCCTGCAGGAATCAGAATAGGAAGCACAGTGGGTGGCTAATTTTGTCTCTTAGTTCTTCAAAGCTATATAATAACTCCTCATAATGTGATTACCCCCACCCTCCAAGAGCCTTATTTATAAGCATTAATTAATTAGAAATTAAAAGTTGATATAATGATTATAAATCTAATTTTGGTTACTATACAGCTACCATGTATATTTTTTCAGGTTTGAAAAGCTGTCTTCAGATTGATAGCAAAAAATAAGTACTGCCAATTTATAGATAAAGATGTAATGTTAATTATGCAAATGAATGACAGAAGTAGACTGAAATTCCCATGTTGAACCCTATTCTAGTAATTTAACATGTATTTAATCACAAATTTTTATGTGTTCCCTCTGGACTATACTTCTGCCTTTGTACACTTGGTCAGCTGACTTATACCTCAGTAGCAACCTGCTTTATAAATATTCATAATGTGTAAAACATTTTTTAAAAATACAAATTTTCAGTTAGATTTATTGTACAACATGGTGACAATGGTTAATAACAACATTTCTTGAAAATTGCTGAGAGTAGATTTTGTGTTCCCATCAGAAAAAACAATAAATACGTGAGATGATACATATTTTAATTAGCTTGATTTAGCCGTTTCATAATGTACGCATATTTCAAAACATGTATATTATAAATATATAATTTATATTTGTGAGTTAAAAATAGTAAAAATAAAGTTTAAAAATGGATATAAAGATGGATTCATTGACAACAATTCGATGTAAAGAGCTGTGTATTAGCAAATACGTTTACTACATCCGAAACCGTTGACATTCATTGATGTGTTCATTAATACCATTCAGCAAGTATTTTCAGATTTTCTCAGAATTATGCCAGGGACTGTGGCCTATTAAAATGAAGCTTTCAAGGAACTTAGAATGTGTTGATGTGGCACTAGTATGAAATAAAGTACCGTAGCATGCTAGAGAAGGAGAGATTAATGACATAGGTAGAAGACTTGGTGGAAAATGTAGTGCCAGAGACAGGCCTTAAGTAGTAGGTGAGATTTAGGTAAAACAGGAGATTAAGAAGTTAGAGGGTGATAGTATGAACAGCATATAGAACGAATCATTATGAATGTGGTGGTTGTCTGGTATAACTGTGTTATTAAACTAGCTGATGGAGTCTTTGCATGAAGGATGGGGTAGATAAGTAAGGGCCCAATTGTGGAGACTGGACTGTGGATGTTAAAAGAAAGGTTTTGTAGCTGTTCCTGTGGGCAGTGAGAGCTGTGAGAAAATCTTACCTTTTAAAAGTTTAGATTTAGATGGTCCTGTTAGCAGTGAATAAAATGGATGAAGAAGGTCCAAGAGAATGTTGATTGGTTTGATTGGTAAACACATGAAGTAATCTAATTTTGAGATTTTTGACTAATGATTATAGTAGCAGTCAAGAAGAGAAAATCCTTCAAAAGAAGAAAGAATGTGGTGATTGGCCAGATATAAAAACTATTGCTTAAATTTGCACTGAGTTCTTAAAACAATGTAAAGTTCTTTCTATGGTGGTGATTAAATGCTAGTGTGCCAGGAAAGTTAATTTCTGGAAAAAGGCATTAAGATAGGGGCTTTGAGTAGAGCATGGAACTGTATAGCTGTGTTGTCAAAGGAAGCATGTTATGCATATTATTGTGGCTGGTTTGGAAAAATTCTTATACTTAGATGAAAACACAAGACTTTCCCAAAACATATGCTCTACTATAAAAATTGAGTGGTAGGCAGTTATGAACATCCTTCTCTTGAGGTAAAATATCTCAAGAGAATCAGAAATATAGTTATCTAAAATAGTTATCAAAAGTGCTGCTTTTTGTTTAAAAGATGAAGCCTTCTGAAACCTTAAAGAAAAACCAATTACTTCTATAACTAGCATATCTAATTTGAAAATCAGTGGAAATAACTTACAAAATTTTATGTTATCAAATATTTTTTAACCACTGCTTTATTTTGGAGATATTATAGATCTCTAAATTGACTTAGCTGAGAAAATGGGGATTGAATCTATTAAAAAATAGGTTTTAGCTTTTAAGAAAAAGTTGAACTTCTAAAGGTTATATAACCTACTTATATAACTTTAATGGGACATGTGCATGACATTAACTGAACTTTTATATCCTGAATAAGTAAACAAATGTATTTTCCTACTTCTGTCATTTTATCTTAGTGTAAATTGAGAAACCTAATCTTTTACATGTTTTCACTTGGTTGCCTCTCTCCTTGTGAGTAATTGTGGCTGTTCTTTTTCAATGTTATCAACTTCAAGTCAATTATAAATCAGGCTTTGTTTGTATTAGATTGTATAATTTCAGGATCCATTGCCAAAAATGTGCTAGAGACCAGGTTGTTTACTGAAAAGGCCCTAAGTTGCTCTCATAAACTCAACACTAGGTCACCAACCCTCACATCTTCCAGGAAACTGCTAGAAGTCTGATCCAACTCACTCACCTCCCTCATGAGATTAAAAAAAAAAAAAAAAAAAAATCTTCTGTAGTTGTTAGGTTCTGAAGTCATCTTGTATATATACTCAGATTCTTGAAAATGCCCACCAAGTCCAGGTGTGGTGGCCTATGCCGGTAATCCCAGCACTTTGGGAGGCTTAGGTGGGTGGATCACGAAGTGAAGAGATTGAGACCATCCTGGCCAACATGGTGTAACCCTGTCTCTACTGAAAATATGAAAATGAACTGGGTGTGGTGGCACACGCCTGTGGTCCCAGCTACTCGGGAGGCTGAGGCGGAAGAAATGCTTGAACCCAGGAGGCAGAGGTTGCAGTGAGCTGAGATTGCGCCACTGCACTCCAGCCTGGCAACAGAGCAAGACTCTGTCTCAAAAAAAAAAAAAGAAAGAAAATGCCACACATGATTTGTCTATATTGTACCATTTTCGTAAGTCTAACACAGCCAGATTTTTTTTAGCTAGCATTGTTCTTCAATGAACAACAGTTGAAATAATTCATTTGCACTTAGAAACATGCTATGGGGGTTGGGGGAAATTAAGCTTCGGTTTGGTTGAATTTGTTTAAATGTGCATTGATGTGATTCTACCGTACTTCCCTCCCAAACATTCTAAGATCCACCTTTCTATCTCCACTCCTTTGATATCTCTACCAGTCTTCTTTGAAAGCATTCCTTTCTTTTCATCCCTCTCAAATGGAGGTTGTTCACTTTCCCGTTGCCAGTACACCACATGAACAGTGGAAGGCAGGACTGGCATCCTCACAGCTACTGTGGACCATTGCTAGACCATCCCTCTGCTCTGTTGTTAAAAACTACTTTGAGGTTCATGCTCTCTGGCTAGACCGTCCATTCTCTCTGCTATTACCTGCTGACCTCATTCTGCGCCTGCCCCCTTATTCATAGCCCATGTATTGTCATCTTTATCTCAAGTTTTGCCATTATCTTGAGAACTATCATGAAATTCTCTGCCCTGTCATTTCCTTGACCTCCTCATCTCCAGTGATATTTTCCTTTACTCCATTTCAGCCACCAAGTCCCATAGTCATCTGGGAAATATTTAACTGAGTTGCTTATTGTCTGATTTTCTCTGAACTCCTGTACCTCCAACTGCCCCAATTCCTAGAGGCCTCAGTCATCTCCCGTCTTCATTTCTTTTCTTACACGGTCTGGGCTCCATCACATCCGTGCTCCTTTTTTATTTCCTTATCTCCTAACTCTCTCCTCAGTCCTCTGTGATCTGACTTCTCTCATCACTCCAGTAAAACTGCTCTCTCCATGGATACCAAAAATCATATTTTTGCTAATACTGCTTAAAGGTTTAGTTTGTCCCTAGATTTTTACTTTGAAGTATTTCTTCTGAAAATTCTATAATTCTGCCCATTTTGGAGACCAGTTTTAACCCTTAGATAGGAATAATTAGTGAGGGTTAAAAATAATGTTTAAATTTGATTATCTTTTTTTTTTTTTTTTTTTTTTGAGACGGAGTTTCGCTCTTGTTACCCAGGCTGGAGTGCAATGGCACGATCTCGGCTCACTGCAACCTCCACCTCCTGGGTTCAGGCAATTCTCCTGCCTCAGCCTCCTGAGTAGCTGGGATTACAGGCATGTGCCACCATGCCCAGCTAATTTTTTGTATTTTATTTTTTTTTTAGTAGGGACGGGGTTTCACCATGTTGACCAGGATGGTCTCGATCTCTTGACCTCGTGATCCACCCGCCTCGGCCTCCCAAAGTGCTGGGATTACAGGCTTGAGCCACTGCGCCCGGCCCTTGATTATCATTTTATAAGCTATAAGATATTTATTATGTTTTCTTTTTTCAGCTTTATTACCAAAATGTACTTTTCAAAAATAGGCTATTTGGGTCATTTTGAAAATTTTGTTCATTTATCATTGCTATAAGTAAGTACAGAAAATGTTATATACATAACATATATCTGTATTTCTGGTCATCATTTAAAAATCAATATTTTTGTTTTGCAGTTGAAGCTTTATATCAAACTACATATCCAGAATATCTCCAGTACATTTATTTGGTGGCACCAATATCTCTTATGATGTTAAACCCTATAGGCTTTATCTTCTGTGAAATCCAAAGGTGGAAAGATACTCAAAATGCTTCTCAAAATAAAGTAAAAATTGTGGGACTCGGACTCCTGCATGTATTACAGAACCCAATAGTATTTATGGTCTTCATTGGCATCGCCTTCAATTTTATTCTTGATCGAAAGGTTCCTGTATATGTAGAAAATTTTCTTGATGGACTTGGAAATTCTTTTTCTGGATCAGCCCTATTTTATCTTGGTCTCACGATGGTAGGAAAAATAAAGAGACTGAAGAAGTCAGCATTTGTTGTACTAATTCTTCTCATCACAGCTAAACTGTAAGTATCACTTATTTAACTTGAGAATTGTGCTTTTGGAATTCGTATTTGGCCAATTCATTGGGGTATGGATCTGCAACCATTTTCCCCTTTGAATATCAATAATCCCTCCTTGTAGAATAGTTGTGAGGTAAAGGAAAATGTGACGTTGGTGTATTGTGGAAAGTCATTTCCTTATTCCCTGTAGCTTATTCTTTCCATTTTGCTGTCAGAAGGTAAAGACAATGGGTTTCCCTTCAGCTTTTACATGAAGTTTACTCAGTATCTCCTCATGTCCCAGTTTAACAGTATTTTCCAATAAATTTTGCAGCATTTCTGACTTTTCCAGATCCATAAAGACTCTAAAGACAAAAGCATCTTAGTAATAACAAGAATAATAATTTATAATATAAATTATTTTTCATGAATTTAGGAAAAGTATTTTGTAGTTCTGAGGTTGGCTAAGCTTTCTAAATATAGCTAAGTCAATGTGAATGATTATTATCAGCCATATGATCCTGACTTGCCAAATGAAAAACGCTTATCACCTTCTTTTTTGTTTTTCTGTTTGAGACGGAATCTTACTTTGTCGCTCAGGCTGGAGTGCAGTGGCGCAATCTCGGCTCACTGCAACCTCTGCCTCAGAGGTTCAAGTGATTCTCCTGCCTCAGCCTTCCAAGTAGCTGAGATTACAGGTGCCTGCCACCACACCTGACTGATTTTTGTATTTTTTAGTAGAGATGGGGTTTCACCATGTTGGCCAGCCTGGCCTCGAACTCCTGACCTCAGGTAATCTGCCTGCCTTGGCCTCCCAAAGTGGTAGGGTTACAGGCATGAGCCACCATACCTGGCCTCAACTTCTTAGTTAATAGTTCTTCAGCTTACTTGGTCCATTAGCCACGGAGTTCTACTTCATGGTGCCGGTGACATAATTTTGCTGCAAGATTATCCCAAAGTACTTGAGGCATACTTAACTATGGAATTCCCCTTGTGTATGGACAGTTATATTCATGAGACCAGTGCAACATATTTATATTTTTATAATAATAAAAATGAATATAAGTACTTAAAATTATTTATTGTGATGTTATGCTCTTCAGAAATAAAGTATTAGTATTGTCGAAGTCATAAGTATAATTTTAACAATAATGGTATTATCAACTTTGGCTTATAAGTAGAATTTAAATATTCTAATTTTAAAGATTTTGGGGGTGTCTTTGATACTTATTAAATATTTAAATTTTTTAATTAAAAAAATACAGGTAAGAGTAGTTCTTTTCTCCATCCCAGAGTGCCTGTTTGGGGCTGCTGTGAAAATGTTATCAATCTTGGTCTTATTGATTTCAAAGGAGAGCCCCATTTTCTCAGTTACTATGGATTTGCTCTTTCTTTGGAATCCTGAAGGATTTGTTTAATAATTGACTTTTCAACAGGTCTGCATTTCACTAGTTTTCTGTACCATCTCAGTTGTTTTAGTTCCCTTTGCTAAAATTTTTTGGTATTTACAAAGATGAAGAGCTACTTGAAGATATCTGTTTTTCTACAGGATTTTAGAATCTTATTGAGCAGTGTTGTTACCATTAACTGAACCATTTCAACCCCTAATCATGATAAAATTCAGCTTTTTTTTTTTTTTTTTTTTTTCAAAAAAGGAGTTTCTCTCTCTCTAGAATACGTTGAAAGAAAAAAATTTAGTAATTCTCTTGGAAGAAGCTTTTACTCAGATTGTCAACCTTCTTTCTTTCTTTGAACATTTCAGTAAACCGATAGAGGAAGCAAGAAAGTAGCTGGAATTGCAACTTTTACCATTGTTTGGCCAAAAAAAAAAAAAAAAAAATTTGTAGAACGAAAAAAATATTTTTTTTCCCTCCTAATTCCTGATGTGTGAGATATTTCCAGAATATTGTTACCCTTTAAATGGCTCCAAGTTGAATTCTTGATTCTTTCAGCAAAATGTGCCCATGTAGACATGCCCAGAATATGTGCATTCCCTTCTGGGCAGGAGAAGAACCTAATGCCACATTCACCAGAGCAGTCTGCTACTGTGGACCAGCGTGCTTTGATATCAAGTAAATGATGTTTTTCTTTTTTCTTCAGTCTGGTGCTGCCACTTCTGTGCAGAGAAATGGTGGAACTCTTGGACAAGGGCGACAGTGTAGTAAACCATACAAGTTTATCAAATTATGCGTTTCTGTATGGTGTCTTTCCTGTAGCACCAGGAGTGGCTATCTTTGCAACACAGTTCAACATGGAAGTAGAAATTGTATGTATATACTACTTTCTAAGTTTGATTGTGTGTTTAGTAGGAAAAAATTTTTTAATTCATTTTAAAAAATGAATTTTCATTAATTCATAATTAATTAATTAATGGGGTCTGTTGCCCCAGACTGGTCTTAAACTCCTGCCTTCTGCCTCGGCCTCCCAAAGTGCAGGGATTACAGGCATGAGTCACCATGCCTAGCCCATTTTAAATTTCTAAACATAGAAAGCAATGTTGTTTTTTATGAGGCCCAGCACTTTGGGAGGCTGAGGTGGGCAGATCACTTGAGGCTAGGAGTTCAAGACCAGCCTGGCCAACATGGTAAAACCCCATCTCTACTAAAAATATAAAAATTAGCTGGGTGTGGTGGTAGTTGCCTGTAATCCCAGCTACTTGGGTGGCTGAGGCATGAGATTTGTTTGAACCCAGGAGGCAGTGCTTGCCGTGAGCTAAGATTGCATCACTGCACTCCAGTCTGGGTGACAGAGCAAGCAACATTGTTTTTTTATAAGAATTTGATGTCTAGAAGCTACCTCATTGTAAGGAATGGCATCATGTAACAATGTAACAACAGTCATTTAATTTGGGATCTTTGGTCGGCCACGACCTTCTTTATTAGTCTTTTTTGGTTTTAGTTATTTTATTTCTGTACTGAAACCTAAAAATTATTTACAGAAAAGTAACTTTGAAATTTTGAAGGAAAAAAAGTCTGTTTTATTGGTTGATAATTTCAAGCACCAGATGCAAAATACCACATAATCAACTGTAACAAATAGCTAAAATCAATTGACACCAAATTATTAAGTGTCTAAATGCATTGTACAAGGTATCTATTAGAGTAAATGATTTTAAAATATAATAAAAAGGACCTAAACTGTTTAATGGAGGTCAATTCTGGTTATTTAAACTGCAAAATAAATATTTGCATGGTAATTTTTCTTTTTGAATTCTTTTTTTTTTTTGCCCTATAGTTTATGAGATAGGTTGATTTAGATCATTGCTATGGTTTACTTTCTAAAACCTAGAAGATAACCATCAATAGCAGAATTGCTAGTATTTATTATGCATAAATATAAATTAAGCATAGATTGGAAGAGGAGCCAAGGTAACTTAATTGTGTTTTCTATTAAGGATTCTCAGAAAGAGAAAGTATGGTATTGGATAACATGCTGGATTTTATAATGTCTTTACTAACTCTCATCTTTATTTTAGAATGCTTTAGTGTGCCCTGATTATTTAAAGTTTAAAATATTATTTAATTGAGATTATAACTCCTCCGTTTGATTTCATTTTTGCAGATAACCTCAGGGATGGTGATAAGCACATTTGTGTCTGCTCCCATCATGTATGTTTCTGCCTGGTTACTGACTTTTCCCACTATGGACCCTAAGCCATTGGCATATGCCATCCAGAATGTTAGTTTTGATATAAGTATTGTCAGCCTGATCTCCTTGGTAAGTACGTTGCCATGTCAAAATGAATGGAAACCACAGAGTGAGTTTTGAGAATAGATTGGTAATAGAAAGTAATTTAAAAATCTAGTTTCAGAAAGCTAAAGCCTGCTCATAAAATATAATATCAGCCTTCTGATTAACTGAGTTTCATCTTTCCATTTGGGAGTTACAGTTTTATAGCAGACAAGATATGAGATTTAGTCAGACCTGGATTTTCTTCCTGGCCCTCTCACAAACTAGCTATATGTCTCTGTAGAGTCACCTTAACCTCTCTAAACTTCTGTTTCCCAGCTGTAAAATAATGACAATAATTTTACATGTTTCCATGGGTATTTTAAGGGATTCAATGAAATAATATATATGAAAAGCATTGTGCAAATGATGAATCACTATAGAATTCCTAGCTGTTCTAGAATCATGGGAATCATGGGGTCAGAAGGGATCTTTGAGATCAAGTCCAACAACCTATTTAATGTTAATGAAACTTCTGGCTACTTCTCAGATTGAATATATCTAGCTCAAAATTAAATAATTAAGGATATGACAGCTAGAGTATCTTACAGATCAAATGGCCTATTGAATTCATGTTAGTAAAACTACAGATATTCTGGCTGAAAAAAAGACAGTGTGTACAGTTAATGGAAAGGAGATGGGGCAGGGGTGAATATGCCTACTGGTAATAAATAAATGTGTGATTAATTTTAAAGAAATTCCACCTCTGTCACATATTCTTAAAATCTACTACACCCATTCATCACAGAGCAGTGGGGGAAAAGACCATATACATTTAAGTTGGCAATAAGGAAAGAAAGAACGAAGTCAGCCAGGATACTTACCTGGCCACTATGTAGGTAGAATGGAAACCCAATCCTTTCAAATATGAGGAATGTGGTTTGGCACCATGGCTCATGCCTGTAATCCCAACACTTTGGAAGGCCAAGGCCAGCAGATCACTTGAGGCCAGGAGTTCAAGACCAGCCTGGCCAACATGGAGAAACCCTATCTCTACCAAAAATACAAAATTAGGTATGGTGGTGCACGTCTGTAATCCCAGCTACCTGGGTGGCTGAGGCAGGCGAGTCACTTGAGCCTGGGAGGCAGAGGTTTCAGTGACCTGAGATTGTACCACTGCACTCCAATGAGACTCTGTGTCGCACACACAAAAAGAATAAAACATGAGAATGTAAGATGATTAATCTTAAAGGTGGGTGCTATGTGTTGTTTGAAGTGAAACAGCCTGGCATTTAGATATCCCATGAGCCAATGCGGTGGAAATAGAAAAAAACTTATATTAAAACATATATATGTTTTAATGTAACTTACAACTAACTCCCACTAAGGCTCCTTTCCTGAATAGTTGTCTGTGACCCTGTGTCCCACCCCAGACACTGATAGAACATGGCCCTGGTCAAGACATTAGTTCTTTTTTTTTTTTTTTTTTGAGATAGAGTGTCCCTCTGTCATCCAGGCTGGTGTGCAGTGGCATGATCTTGGCTCAGCTCACTTCTGCTGCTGCCTCACAGGTTTCAAGCAATTCTCTTGCATTAGCCTCCCAAGTAGCTGGGATTACAGGCATGTGCCACCACACGCAGTAGAGATGGGAGTTTCAACATGTTGGCCAGACTGGTCTCGGACTCCTAAGCCACTGTGCCTGGCCAAGGCATTTGTTCTTTTTTTTTTTTTTTTTTTTAAGACATGATCTTGGCTCACTGCAACCTCTGCCTCTTGGTTTCAAGCAATTTTTCTGCCTCAGCCTCCCTAGTAGCTGGGATTACGGGTGCCTGCCACCATACTTGGCTAATTTTTGTATTTTTAATAGAGATGGGGTTTCACTATGTTGGTTGGGCTAGTCTCAAACTCCTGACCTCATGATCTGCCCACCTCCCAAAGTGCTGGGATTACAGGTGTAAACCACCATGACTGGCCATATCAGTTCTTAAATTCTCTGTAATTTTTGGAGAGTGAATTTATTATGGGATCTCTCCATGCTTGTTATTTTACATTGGCTATAATAATTTACCTTTTTGGAACCAGACAGATTAAATAAAATGTTGGAAATTCTTTCTGAACCAGAATAAAGAGGGTTATTTAAAGAAGCTAATTATTATGTTATTTAATTAGTGATTATAAAGATTAAGAAACATAAATAACATTTGAACCTTTTGTCTTCAAGATCTGGTCTCTGGCTATTCTTCTTTTGAGCAAGAAATATAAACAGCTTCCTCATATGCTTACAACTAATTTACTCATTGCTCAGGTTAGTAAAACTACTGATATTTAGAGCTATGTTTTTCTCATGGATTATTCTATTATAGAGGAATAATAACTTTGCTAGGTTTTCTCAGTTATAAAGTCAGAAGTTTTACCAAATGCAGTCAATTACAGTTTGATTACAATTAGTATGTGCCTAACATATTTAATATTGCAAAATATCTTTAACTATCTAAAGCTGAGGCTAATAATTACATGCAATAACTTTGCATTTTTAATAGAAACAATCGAATTATTAATAATTGAACTCTTTCACAATCTTATTTTTCTAATCTTTGCATGTCTCAAATTATAATGAAAAGAACTTTAGCAATTTTAAGACATTACTAAATACAGATATAAGATTAATATTTAAAATGTCATCCATTTCAATTGAATATGTATATTGTCAAAGGCTTTGTATAAAAAGGATTTTTAACATAAAGCTTGAAGTTTTAGTACAAGTAGTATGGAATACTTGATAATTATTCATAAAAAATTTTAAATGAACAATTATGTTTGCTGTGAATGAAACGTGAATATGACTGGCTTAATTGGAATTTTGTTACAGTATTAAATTATATGTTTTTCTTAGCTATTTACAAAGTCTTTTAATAATTTTTTCCTTAGTCTATTGTCTGTGCTGGAATGATGATATGGAATTTTGTTAAAGAAAAAAATTTTGTTGGACAAATTTTGGTGTTTGTTCTATTGTACAGCTCCCTCTATAGCACCTACCTGTGGACAGGTGAGTTGGATTATGAATGAAAATTGAGGTCTGTTCCCCATCCCACTCCGTTCCTGATAGACCTGAGCTTCTAGTAATCTATTTGAAGTCTGGTAGTATAGGACCAAGGCATGCACTGAAGCAGATCAGACCACCCACAGAAGCCATCGGCAAAGCTGAGTTCTGTTTCCTAATGTACTCTATTCCTTCGTGAGCTCAGGGCCTTGTCCAGTCATGTGGTCCTTTTCCCCAGGGCCTATGGCTCTAGGCTTCTGTCAGTGCTGCTCCCTTTTGAAGACAACAGGGCAGACACTGGAGGCAGATGGAGAAGGGAGGGAATGGGCAAGATGCATGAGGTGTGTTTCAGAGCTTATTATCAAGTCCTGCTGAGCAGGGAAATTCTGGCTCTGGCTCTGCCTCATGCAGATTACGTAACTTTTTTTTTTTTTGAGATGGAATCTCGCTCTGACACCCAGGCTGGAGTGCAGTGATATGATCTCGGCTCACTGCAACCTCCGCCTCCCAGGTTCAAGTGATTCTCCTGCCTCGGCCTCCCAAGTGGCTGGGACTACAGGTGCCTGACAGCATGCCTGGCTAATTTTTGTATTTTTAGTAGAGACGGGGGATTTCACCATGTTGGCCAGGCTGGTCTCGAACTTCTGACTTGTGATCCACCTGCCTCGGCCTCCCAAAGTGCTGGGATTACAGGCGCGAGCCACTGCACCTGGCCTTCTTAACTTTTGAAACCTCAGTTTCCTCATCTGTAAAATTGGGTTACAGCACCTTACAGAGTTATTTTAAGGGTAAAATGAAATGTGAACATTTATGTCTGGTACATGGTAGGCACTAAACAAATGGAAATGTGTTAGTTATTAAATAGAAAGATTAGAGGTAATATGAGAACAAGAAAACTAGGGGAATAAAAAGACATAGAAATAGCAAAGGACCTAATGAGAAAGACTGTTCTGTTTCTCCTTTCAACTGGCAACAAAAATGATATTCGAAATGTTCTAGCACATTGCTGTGTTGAAGTATAATATTTATTTGGATGTATACATTCTGGTATGTTTGTGAAAAATTCTGTCTGGCTATTTTATATTCATCCTACAAATTTGAACCTGTAAATAGCACATGAAAGGAAATAGTCGAATGGTAGGAGGCAGGTGTCAGGAAGTGGCTGCAAAGGATGGACCTTTGATTTCATGCTTTCAGGATCAAAAGCAGGTCCCATCTCAGTCAACAGCCTTTTGAAGTGAAGCAACAATGTGGTGAGGACTCACAGAATGAAAAATTCAGCACAAACAGAAGATGGTTTGTGCTTCTTAAAGGCAATTGTATCTTGCATAGCATGAGTTTTTATGCGATGTCAAGTTAAAAGAGCCTAAAGACTTTATATTTCAAAATATCAGTGGACCAACTTTAACAAGGGTTATTCAGGTTAACTTTATAATCAGAATAAGTAGCAACTAGATCAATCTATTAAAGGCTCTAAGTCTCTCTGAAACCCTCTTCAAGCATGCATGGCAAAATCTATTCAAATAAGTTGTTCTGAATTCCCTAAACCTAATAAAGGTGCCCTTTAACTATCAGATTATTATGCTATGGCAGAATTTTAGACCTGAAAATGTCATTTTAAGTCATCCCATTTGATCATTTTTGGTTTTACTCATTTTCATACCATCCTCACAGTTTTTGCCATATCTACATACTGCTTGTTCTTTTTTCCTTAAAATTGATTTTTTTCTTTAATCAGTTGAGTCTTATATTAATAAAATCCCAGGTTTCATTTCCTAATTAATTTTTTAATATACATTAAAATAAATGTATAACCAGTCAAAACATTTTCACCTTTCTGACATCTATAATCTCTACGCCTTAGGAAACACTGGTCTAATTTAAATCCTTCATTTTGCAAACTGAGAAACAGACCCAAAAACTTAGACTGATTTAGGCAGAAGCTCTCACAGCTTCTTCAGTGAAAGATCCAGGGCTAGCTGGATTCTGCCTGTTTGTATATAGTTCTTTTCACAAGGCTGAAGTGATGCACATTAGAATTTTAAAGACTACCTGTGCTGCTGTAACACAGATGGCACCCTTTTGTGATTGGTTACTTGTTTCCCTGGCACTGCAACTATACAGTGTACAAATGGATTGAGGGAGGAACAGTGGTAAAGAAAACCAATTCTCAAGGACTTCAGTGTCAATTTATATTAATTCTAGCACAGTGTTCTTTAATCTGTACAATCATAAATCTAGGTATATATTCTTTACAGCTTAAAATTTCTCATAGAAATATCCAATTCTAAAACCAAAGCAAATTCACAGATTCTATTCAAACAAAACTACAAACCCACTAATTCTAATTAGCAACATAAATTAATATGACAAAGGATCTTGTTTTGCTAATATAAATCACAGCTTGAAACATAAAATGACACTCATTGCTGTAGCTTTTTTGTCTTGCCTTTACTTCTGTATGTGGGGTTTTGACCTTGTTATCTTACTGATTTTCTTTCTTCAAACTACCACTTCATTTGGACTGTGTGTTGTAATATCATTTGGCCTTCACTTGACTCAAACTTAATATGAAACCCAATATAAGGTCTGGACAGGCACAGTGGCTCATGGCTGTAATCCCAACATTTTGGGAAATCCAGACTAGAGGATCGCTTGTGGCCAGGAGTTCAAGAGTAGCCTAGGCAACATAGTAAGACCTTTTCTCTATAAAAAATTTGAAAATTAGGCTGGGTGCGGTGGCTCACACCTGTAATCCCAGCACTTTGGGAGGCCTAGGTGGTGGATCATGAGGTCAGGAGTTCAAGACAAGCCTGGCCAAGGTGGTGAAACCCTGTCTCTAATAAAAACACAAAAATTAGTTGGATGTGGTGGCAGATGCCTGTAATCCCAGCTTCTGAGGAGGATTAGGCAGGGAATTCCTTGAACCTGGGAGGCAGAGGTTGCAGTGTGCCAAGATCGTGCCACTGAATTCCAGCCTGGATGACAAAGCAAGACTTCATCTCTCTCTCTCACACACACACACACACAATTGAAAATTGAAAATTAGCTGGGCATGCTGTTGCAGGCCTGTAGTCCCAGCTACTCAGGAGGCTGAAGCAGGAGGAGCCCTTGAGTCCAGAATTTTGAACTATGACTGTGCCACTGCACTCCAACCTGGGCAACAGAGTGAGACCCCGTCTCAAAAATAAATGAAAATAAACCCAATGTAAATTCTGAAATCATGAGACTGCACGTTGGTTACGAGGTGGATACACAGAGGACTACCATTAGAAAAAAAAAAAAAAACTTAAAATTCCTCATAGAAATTTACAGATCTGAAGAATATGTCATAGGCACCCTAGGGGTCCACAGATCTGAGTTTGAGAAACGGACTCAAGAAAGGAAGAATTTAGCTTGTGTTAAAAGACTAGGTTTCTAGTCCCACTCTGCCCTCTGCTGGCTATATGACTTGGGCAAACCCTCATTTCCACATCTATAAAATGAAGGTGCTAATTTAAAATAAAGGTCCCTTTCAACTTTAAAGTTCTAAGATCTTATAACTATGTAGAATTTATTAAATAAAATGTTATTTGAATAAATAATTATATATAAGTTATAAGGAAAGTTCAAGAACTTCAAAACATTTGTGTTTGTATTCAGAGTGTGTTTATATTAAGCATTATCATTACACTTAAGGCATTTTCTGAAAACATAACTTGGGTTAAGAGTTGCCCATACCTCTGTTTTGTTTTGTTTTGTTTTGAGGAGGAGTTTTGCTCTTGTGGCTCAGGCTGGAGTGCAATGGTGCAATCTTGGCTCACCGCAGCCTCCACCTCCCAGGTTCAAGCAATTCTCCTGCCTTAGCCTCCTGAGTAGTGAGATTATAGGCATGCACTACCACACCCAGCTAATTTTCTATTTTTAATAGAGACAGGGTTTCTCAATGTTGGTCAGGCTGGTCTTGAAGTCCCGACCTCAGGTGATCCACCCCTTAGCCTCCCAAAGTGTTAGGCCTGCCAATACTTCTTAGCACCACAAGAGGTGGGTGTTTTTATTTTTCGAATTGTTCCATATTCATTTATGTTCTTCAGCTGGGACCAGTGGCTCACGCCTATAATTCCAGAACTTTGGGAGGCCAAGGCAGGTGCATCACTTGAGACCAGGAGTTCAAGACCAGCATGGCCAACATGGTGAAACCCCATCTCTACTAAAATTACAAAATTAGCCTGGTGTGGTGGTACACATCTGTAATCCCAGCTACTCGTATGGCTAAGACATGAAAATTGCTTTAACCAGGGAGGCAAAGGTTGCAGTGAACTGAGATCATGCCACTGAACTCCAGCCTGGGTGACAGAGTAAGACTCTGTCTAAAGAAAAAAAAAATGTTTTTCCATTATACTTAGATTCCAAACACATGAGTCTAAACAATAAAATGATTAGGGCTTTTGAAAAAAATACTTCCACAGATGCAATGGCTCGTGCCTATAATCCCAGCACTTTGGGAGGCAGAGATGGGAAGATCTCCTGAGCTCAGGAGTTCAAGAACAGCTTGGGCAACATAGTGTGACACTGTCTCTACAAAAAAAAAAAAATTTAATTAGCCAGGCATGGTGGCATATGACTGTGGTCCCACCTAATCAGGAGGCTGAGGTGGGAGGATCACTTGAATCCTGGCAGTTGAGGCTGCAGGGAGCTGTGATCACACCTCTGCACTCCAGCCTGGGCAACAGAGGAGACCCTATCTAAAAAACAAACAAAAAAACAGAAAAGAAAATAACTCTTCACAGAGAAATAGATTTGAGTAAAGAAATAATATATGAGGGAAAGCATGAATGATTTTGAATCAAAACTTGCTTCAAAATATTGGGGATAGCATTTATTTAGAAGGAATAAATTCTAAAGCAAAAAACAGACTACTACAAAATAAGCTTGGTTTGAAAAAATGAAAAGGAAATAAAGTTCCATGAAGTCTGAGTAATATTGAGTAATTAATTGTCTCTTCCAATTTTCTTGTTCTCAGGACTTCTAGCAATTTCTTTGTTTCTTTTGAAAAAGCGAGAGAGGGTACAAATTCCTGTTGGAATCATCATCATATCTGGCTGGGGGTAAGTTGGTAGTTTTCTGTTTTCTTACATGTTTCCATATACACAGTTACTATTCATCCTTTCTTTTTCTCTCCTAATAACCATTGTGATTACAGAATTCCTGCTCTCCTTGTTGGTGTCCTTTTGATAACCGGAAAACACAATGGAGATAGCATCGACTCCGCCTTCTTTTATGGAAAAGAACAGGTGGGAAGAGCTTCTCGGCAGTTCTGTTCTTGAGTATGTCTCTTTAGGTTGTGAATGTGCCTTGCTAGACTTACGTTAAAATTAACTTTGAACATCGATTTCAGTTCATTGCATATCACATTGATGATCCTATGCCACTTTGTCTCACCTGCAACATTAACATTTTACACGTTTAAGTCCATTTTTAGTTGAAGATTTCTAAATGCTTAAAATGTTTTGATGTTTTAAAACACACTGAGCAATGTGTTTCCTCTACTGGAGAAAAGAGTGATTGATTTGAAACCATCTAATAAGTTAGCAGTAATGATAAAGGTCAAATTCCTGACTTTTAATCCTATCATAAATATAAATTTCAGGACAAAATGTATCTAGGAAAAGTATGCTTGAAAAGCTATATAGTAGGAGGCTTGTGGGAACTGCAGAATTCTTTTTGATTATTATTATTTTTTATTTTGAGACAGAGTCTTACTCTCGCCCAGGCTGGAGTACAGTGGTGTGATCTTGGCTCACTGCAACCTCTGCCTCCTGGGTTCAAGTGATTCTCCTGCCTCAGCCTCCCAAATAGCTGGGATTACAGGTGCCTGCCACTGTGCCTGATTAATTTTTGTATTTTTAGTAGAGACTGGGTTTCACCATATTGGCCAGGCTGGTCTTGAAGTCCTGAGCTTGTGATCCACCAGCCTCAGCCTCCCAAAGTGCTGGGATTACAGGCGTGAGCCACCACACCCAGCCAAGGGACCTACAAAATTCTTTAGGGGTAGGGTCCAAAGATGTGTGTTTTTAAAAAACCTCTCCACATAATTTTGATTTCTTACCATTTTTTTCTGTTTTGCAATTTTGAAATTTATTGTGTTTTTATGAGAATAAATAAGACTATGCATCTGGTTAGTGTTCAATAAATATTAGCTATAATTATTTTTAATATCATTAACATCAAAACGTCTCTAGTAATGGAAGTATGCATGAAGTATACGTGAAAGTGAACAGAAACTTAGAAGTAAAGAAAACATCTGAAAGAAATCATTTAGATGCCTTGTAAAGGAAACCAGTGGCTGTGCTGGTAACCAATTGCTGTACAATGAAAGAAACATCTAAAAAACCTTGTGTGACAAGCAAACCTTAATTTCTCTCCAAGTAACTTACATTCCTTGTATACACTTACCTTTTTAAAAGAACCACTGTTCTAGAGTATGTAAACCGGTGGAGATAGATTGCTCATCAAAAATGTACCCTAAGATTATCAAGATGAAGTTGTGAAAAGTGGCCTGGTATCTTTTTCTCATGTTGGCAGATGATCACCACAGCAGTCACCCTGTTCTGCAGCATCCTGATAGCTGGCGTATCGCTCATGTGCATGAACCGAACCACACAAGCAGGAAGCTATGAAGGTTTTGACCAGTCTCAGAGCCACAAAGCAGTGGAGCCTGGAAATACTGCTTTTGAGGAGAGTCCAGCACCAATAACTGAACCAGAACTTTTTACAAGCTCTATTCCAGAAACAGGTATGATCTTTTTAATTTTATTTTTTTTAAAAATGAATAATTTGACAAGCAATTTTGTTGACTATGATGTAGATGCTTCATTTGACAAGTACTTACGATATTCAAAGGAGTTCAAGAAAGTTTCCCTTACATAAAACATTTAAGATACATGCTTCCCCTTCCCCTTCTCCTCCCCCTCCCTTTCCCTTTCCCCTTCCCTCCCCCTTCTCTCCCTTTCTCCTCCCTCCCCTTCCCCTTCCCATTTCCCTTTCCCTTTCCCCTTCCCCTTCCTTTTCCCCTCCCTCCCTCCCTCCTTTTCTTCCTTCCTTCCTTCAACAGTCTTGCTCTGTCACCAGGCCAGAGTGTACTGGTGCCGTCATTGTCCCTGTAACCTTGAAATCCTGGGCTCAAGCAATCTCCCACCTCATCCTCCCAAGAAGCTGGACTATAGGCACATGCCAACATGCCCAGCTATTTTTTAAAAAGTGTTTTGTAAAGAAAGAGTCTTGCTGTGCTGCCCAGGCTGGTCTTAGATTCCTAGCCTCAAGTGATCCTCCCACCTCCGCCTCCCAAAGCAACAGGTGTAAGCTACCATGCCTGGCCACATTCACTACTCTATGAGATGAAGTTTTTTATATTTTGCGTATGAGTGAGAACATTTGGATACTTTTGGATAGATACCATGTGAAAACTATTGAGGCTACATGGGAAGTGCATGTGAGTGGGTTTTGTTTTGTTTTCTTTGGCATGTCTTGAAATTGTCTATTTCTTTTGTTGTTGGGCTCTACTCTCACATACTATTTAATTGATACAGGTTGCTGCTCCTGCTCCATGAGAAATGGTGAATTGCACTGCTCATCAATAGAGCCAGTAGCGAACATAAGCTCCAGTGAGCCTGCGATTCCTTCATTTGAGAAAAGTAAGTGCGCCTGGACTATGGGGATAGGATTAAGGCACAGAATGTTCCTTATCCTTATCCTTTGAACGAACTCTACGTAGAATATCTACAAAAGCTAAAAACACCAAGAATATAATATAGATTCTCAATTAAGAGCAAAAAAGTGCTCGCTGAGCACGGTGCCTCATGCCTGTAATCCCAGCACTTTGGGATGGCAAGGTGGGTGGATCACCTAAGGTCAGGAGTTCAAGACCGGGCATGGTGGCATGTGACTGTAATCCCAGCTACTTGGGAGCCTGAGGCAGAAGAATCACTTGAACCTGAGAGACAGATGTTGTAGTGAGCTGAGATTGTGCCATTGCACTCCAGCCTGGGCAACAAGAGCAAAACTCTGTCTCAATTTAAAAAACTACTAATAGGGAATAATTGTGCATAGACAGAATATGCACTTAATAAAGTTCACACAAAGCAGTAATAGGTAGTATCATACACACATTTTCCAATGAATTTAACCCAAGTGACGAATCCAGGAAGTTTGCCCTCAAGGGCATTTTGGTGGGATGTGGGAAGAGGGAGGACTTTTTCTTGTTTAAGAAGCTGAGACTTTTCCTCCAATTCTCATCCTCCAGGACCAGAACTAATTAATTAGTTCTAATTATATTTTGAACCTTTATGCTTTAAATATTGCCATTATTATAAAATAAGGAACAAACCCCTTTAGAAGTATTAACCTTTTGACCAAGAGACTGAATTACATGTGTGGCCTAAATTTCAGATTTTTCAAAACAACTGAACATGCGTATGTGGAATTGCAATGCATTTTTCATTGATTATACTTATTTATAATAAAACTAAAAAGGGAACCCCCAAAAACACTCTTTTTGATAAGGCATATGTCAACAGTATTACTACTAAAGGCATTATGTTTTTATATAAGAAATGTTGTAAGGATTATAAGAAACAATGTATGCAAATCACTTAGCATGGTATGTGGTATACATAGTAAAATGCTCATTAAAATCTGTAGAAGCAGTAGTAACTATTATTATTCAGATGGGATTTATATTTGGCTGCTATCTGTTGGCAAGGAATGAATCTTAATAGTAGAATTCACATTTCTATAAAAAGGAGAGAAAACATATCAGCGATCAAGCATTCACTGTCTTTTTTTTCTTTTACAAGAAACCCTTTCTGGCAGTTAGAATGTCTTTGTTTTATGTGTCTGCCTTTTTTCTAAAATTGTTTCTTTATATCAGAATTTCCAGGGTTTTCTTCGTATTGTTTTCTCCCTACACAATATACCTAATAGTAAAATCCATGAACAAATTCAACATGTAATCTAATTTGGCAGATTTCCCTCCCCAAATCTCCTTAGGCTTTGCTTATCTGTCATTTTCTTCATTAATAATGTTGATTTTCAGCTGAGCATAGTGGCTCACTCCTATAATCCCAGCACTTTGGGAGGCCAAGGTGGGAGGATTGTGCTTGAGCCCAGGAGTTCAAGACCAGCATGAGCAACATAGCCAGACCCTGTCTCTACAAAGAATCAAAAAAATTAGCTGAGTGCAGTGGCTCATGCCTATAATCCAAGCTACTCAGGAGGCTGAGGTGGGAGGATCGCTTGAGCCCAGGAGGCTGAGGCTGCAATAGGCCATGATCACATCTGAGCAACAGAGGAAGACCCTGTCTCAAAAACAAACAAAAAGTTGATTCTTGAAAATTATCTTAAATTAGAGGGGCTTGGATTTTCTGATGATATTATATAAAAATTATATAGAACGAGAGCCATTGTATATGGCTCTTCTAATCATACAATTTAGTATCATTCCTAAACCTAAAAGAAAGTCCAGGAAATTAAACCATTGGCAAATTAGAATTTTTGAGACGGAGTTTCGCTCTTGTTACCCAGGCTGGAATGCAATGGCCTGATCTCGGCTCACCACAACCTCCGCCTCCCGGGTTCAGGCAGTTCTCCTGCCTCAGCCTCCTGAGTAGCTGGGATTACAGGCACGTGCCACCATGCCCAGCTAATTTTTTGTATTTTTAGTAGAGACGGGGTTTCACCATGTTGACCAGGATGGTCTCAATCTCTCGACCTCATGATCCACCCGCCTCGGCCTCCCAAAGTGCTGGGATTACAGGCTTGAGCCACTGCGCCCGGCGGCAAATTAGAATTTTTATAGTTGACAATATAATTCATTCTCCTTAGCATAGTACAAAAGCAAAAATAAGTGTCACATTTAGATTGTTAAATGGCAACAATGTGTGAAAAAGCAAATGAAAGACAGATTTATTTTTATCAATTTTTGTAATATCTGTACTCTCTCTATATATATGTTAGATGAAGTCTTGCTCTGTTACCCAAGCTGGAGTACAGTGGCGTGATCTTGGCTCACTGCAACCTCTGCCAACTAGGTTCAAGCAATTCTCCTGCCTCAGCCTCCCAAGTAGCTGGGATTACAGGCACCTGCCACCACGCCCAGCTAAATTTTTTTGTATTTTTAATAGAGACAGGGTTTCACCATGTTGGCCAGGCTGATCACAAACTCCTGACCTCAAGTGATCTGCCCAGCTCAGCCTCCCAAAGTGCTTGGATTACAGGCATGAGCCACTGCACCTGGCCTGTACACAATATTTTAAAACCAGGTTTATTATATATAGGTATACTTCCAGAATTTTTCCACACATATGTATAAATAATTTTTATTAAAATAGGATCATATTACAGAGATAGTTTGGTAACCTACTTTCATTTTACTAAGCAACACTATGAAGCTACTTCCATGCTATCAGCAATTGTGCTAGACCATGTTTAACGGGTATACATGGCCTTTTCTAAAATGCTTTAGGAAATATAAATTTTTTTCTTTTAGGTTGAGGGCAAGAGCTATAGAATTGTGGGGGTTTTGTTGTTGTTGTTGTTTTTTGAGTTGGAGTCTCGTTCTGTTGCCCATGCTAAAGTGCAGTGGCATGATCTCAGCTCACTGCAACCTCTGCCTCCTGGGTTCAAGCGATTCTCCTGCCTCAGCCTCCCAAGTAGCTGGGACTACAGGCATTTGCCACCATGACTGGCTCATTTTTGTATTTTTAGTAGAGATGGGGTTTCGTTATGTTGGCTAGGCTGGTCTCAAACTCCTGACCTCATGATCTGCCCTCCTTGGCCTCCCAAAGTGCTGGAATTACAGGCATGAGCCACCGTGCCCAGTTGTGGTTATTAATCATTGACTTGTATAAGACCGTATGTTGGAGTAGACATCAATTTTGTAAAAAATATTTTTCTAGGCCGGGCGCGGTGGCTCAAGCCTGTAATCCCAGCACTTTAGGAGGCCAAGGCGGGTGGATCACGAGGTCAAGAGATTGAGACCATCCTGGTCAACATGGTGAAACACCATCTCTACTAAAAATACAAAAAATTAGCTGGGCATGGTAGCGCGTGCCTGTAATCCCAGCTACTCAGGAAGCTGAGGCAGGAGAATTGCCTGAACCCAGGAGGCGGAGGTTGCAGTGAGCCGAGATCGCGCCATTGCACTCCAGCCTGGGTAACAAGAGCAAAACTCCATCTCAAAAAAAAAAAAAAAAAAATTTTTTTTTTTCTTTGCTTTTGCTCCTATAGATAGAGTGGAGCTGAGGTAGAAAACAAAGACTTCCTGTGAAAAGTACCTCACCTCTATTTTTGGCCAGAAAAGAGTCATGCCTGGTTGTGTTTGGTTCCAGATGTGAACAAAACATGGCATATAAATACTTTTATGGTTCCTCAAAGGTCTTTTTGAAGGCAAATTTTTTTCAACTTTTACTTTTGGATTCAGTGGGTACATGTGTAGGTGTGCTACCTGAGTATATTGTGTCATGCTGAGGTTTGGAGTACAAACAAATGATCCCATCACCCCAAAGCATAGTACTCAGTAGTTTTCCAGCCCTTGCCCCCTCCCTCCTACCCTCCCACCTCTTGTAGTCCCCAATTTCCATCATTACCATCTTTAAGTCCATGAGTATCTAATGTTTAGCTCCCACTTATGAGTGAGCACATGCGGTACTTGGTTTTCTGTTCTTGTGTGAATTCACTTAGGATTAGGGCCTCCGGATACATCCATGTTGCTGCAGAGGGCATTCTTTCTTTCTTTCTTTCTTTTTCTTTTCTTTTTTTTTTTTTTTTTTTTTGAGACAGGGTCTGGCTCTGCCATCCAGGCTGGAGTGAGCAGCTCACTGCAACCTTTGCCTTCTGAGTGCAAGCCATCATCCCACCTCAGCCTACCAAGTAGCCAGGACCACAGGCATGTGCTGTCATTCATGCCTGGCTAATTTTTGTTTTGTTTTGTGTTGTTTTTTAGAGACAGGGTTTTGCCATGTGGCCCCGGCTGATCTCGAACTCCTGAGCTCAAGTGATCCAGCTGCCTCAGCCTCCCAAAGTGCTGGGACTATAGGCATGAGCTACTGTGCCTGGCCTGTCTCCTTCTTTTTATGGCTGCATAGTATTCCATGGCATATATGTATCACATTTTCTTTATGCAGTCCACCATTGATTCAAACCTAGTTTGATTCAATGTCTTTGCTATTGTGAGTAGTACTGTGATGAACATGCAATTGCATGTGCCTTGGTAGAATGATTTGTTTTCTTTTGGATATGTTCCCAGTAATGGGATTGCTGTTCTTTGAGAAATCTCCAAACTGCTTTCCATAGTGACCGAACTAATTTACATTCCCACCAATGGTGTATATAAGCATTCCCTTTTCTCTGCAACCGCACCAGCATCTGTTGTTTTTTGACTTTTTAATAATGGCCCTTCTGACTAGTATGAGATGATATCTCATTGTGGTTTTGATTTGCATTTCTCTGATGATTAGTGATGTGGAGTTTTTTTTTTTGTTTTTGTTTTTTGTTTTTTTTTTGAGACGGAGTTTCGCTCTTGTTGCCCAGGCTGGAGTGCAATGGTGCGATCTCGGCTCACCGCAACCTCCGCCTCCTGGGTTCAGGCAATTCTCCTGCCTCAGCCTCCTGAGTAGCTGGGATTACAGGCACCCGCCACCATGCCCAGCTAATTTTTAGTATTTTTAGTAGAGACGGGGTTTCACCATGTTGACCAGGATGGTCTCGATCTCTTGACCTCATGATCCACCCACCTCAGCCTCCCAAAGTGCTGGGATTACAGGCTTGAGCCACTGCGCCCGGCCGATGTGGAGTTTTTTTTTTATGTTTGTTGTCCACTTGTATGTCTTCTTTGAGAAGTGTCTGTTCATGTCTTTTGCCCATTTTTAAATGGAGTTATTTGTTTTGTTTTGTTTTTTGTATTTTTAGTTGAGACGAGGTTTCACCATGTTGGCCAGGCTGGTCTTGGACTCCTGACCTCAGGTGATCTGCCCACCTCAGCCTCCCAAAGGTCTGGGATTACAGGCATGAGCCACCACACCTGGCCAAATTATGTGTGATTTTTAAAGGCCAAATTATATAACTTATATTAGATAATTATATATATAACATTGTTGAATAGTGTAAAAAAAGAACTATTGTGTTCTACTTACGTTTTTTGAGATAAAAACACTTCAACTAGAATTCTTCTAAAACAACATGAGGGAGCTTTTCTCCAATTTCATCTAAAATGTTATACTGATTCTTAGCTGAATGTGCTTTTCTGTTGTTTTCTCTCAGGAAGTCATTACACATTTAAAATGCATTTAGATAAAAAGCTCTGATTACAAATTGTTGTGCTTACTGTTTTATAGACGATCTTTGTGTGAGTCGCTGTAACTCCCAGAGCTGCATATTAGCTCAGGAAGAAGAACAGTATCTACAAAGTGGAGACCAGCAACTGACCCGACATGTGTTGATGTGTTTACTTCTCATCATTGGCCTGTTTGCTGTAATTGTTTCTTCTGGTTTTGTTTTGGGGCCATTTCTTTACATTTTTGGGAAAGGTTTTATTCAGGCGTCTGGGAAAATCTTAGTTGCTGCTTTCCAGAAGTGTGATAGCTAGGTCACCTGAATTCAAATCTTGAGTTAAATATTTGGGGGTATGAGGGGAAGAGATGAATCATTCACATTACATTTCTGAGGCCTAAGTGCTCCAATAGTTTATTCTGCCTAGAATCATTTATTCATTCTATGCCCTGAACCTAGAATTTGGTAAAAGCAGATATTTCAATAATGTACACATGGACTCTTAATCCTAATATACCTGACCAAAATGGATAAATGCTACATTAATCACTCAGAAAAATGAAACCTCAGAGTCCACTGGAAAAAAAAAGAAAAAGAAAAAAGAAAACCAATAAACCTCTTAGAACATATTCATTGGATAAGCTTTAAAAAATATTTTTCACTTATCAAAATAACATAACTGCTTCATACAATAGATGGTTACAAAATAGAGAAAAATAAAATACAGTACTTTATTTTTAGACTACATGCATTTCTTTGGTTACTAAATGTCCTGTTTGTGAATTATCAGTTGTTATAATTTCTTTGAGATGGTTCAAGTATAACTTGTCCAGAGGTAGGAGAGGAACCAGATAACCTATGAAGGAACCCTTTGCACACTGGGATGCTCGTGAGATAGTGTGATTATCAGCCACCACCACTTTACGTGCTGTTTAAGAACAAAAATCAAAAATAAGAAATGCTGCCAAGAATTGCTTAGTGATGTAATTGTTTTCATTATGTAGAACTAAGTTTAAAATCAGCCTGTCTTAGGCTAGTCGGCAATCTTGATACATTATGTAAGCTTCTGTATTATGGCTCATGTCTTCTTACTTCAATCTGATCAGAATACATACTGTTTGAATGACATCTGTCAGGGGGAGAGGTTGAAACTTCTTGCTGAAGAGACAAAGCCTCTGTATTCTCTCAGTGTTTTTCCCTCTTGTCTTTTTCTCTGTAATTATTAAGTAGGTAAGTTATTGTACTATGCTGTGGATGGAGAGAAATTATTAGCTTGCTTCATTTTAAAATACTCTTTTCTCTTTCCATTACAGAATCTTTCCAGTTGTTTATGGTGGCTATTCAACCAAGAGCCTGGAAGACTTTATGTTGAGTTACAGTTTTTCTGTGCCGTGTTTAACTTTGGCCAGGTATTTATTTATGGAGAACTTTGAGGGGTTTTTGTTTTCCTGGATAGGTTGATTGGTGGGGGGTGGGGGGAAGTGGGGAGTGGATGAGAATGTTGTTTTCTTTCACATAAAAGGGTTTAGTTTGTTTGCCAGCTGCTGGTATGCATGACAGCTGACAGCTGCTGCCTGTCTTCTAGTAGAGAAGAACTATTATATTGCTTAAAGTCATCAGAATGTACACTGAGTGCTTCCATCAGAAAAATACCAGGTAGTAACTTTGGTGTGATCTTAATAAGTCACATCGGGGCTGGGCTCCTTGGCTCACACCTGCAATCCCAGCACTTTGGGAGGCCAAGGTGGGCAGGTCACTTGAGGCCAGGAGTTCAAGACCAGCCTAGCCAACACAGTGAAACCCCATCTTACAAAAAATACACACACACACACACACACACACAAAGCCAGATGTGGTAGTGCATGCCTGTAATCCCAACTACTGCAGAGGCTAAGGAATGAGAATCTCTTGAACCCAGGAGGTAAGAGGTTGCAGTGAGCCAAGTTCGTGCTACTGCACTGCAGCCTGAACGACAGAGCAAGAAAAATGTCACGCTGTCAAAATCCTTTCAACTCTTCCCCTAAACACTAGCCAGTTTCACTTTACATAAATTCTGTTCAATTACTGCATTATTATTAGATACTGCAACACTTGTTAATTATAATTTATGACATTTCATGGAAAAATAAATACTTAAGCACAGTGGGAAATGTTTTCTTTTGATAAAGGGGAAACAAAGACATTTGTACCCTTAAATGTTTTCATTTTACTATCATGTATGTAAATGTGGCTGCTCAGCCCCGAGTTGTATCACTCATCATAAAAGTAGGATAGAATGACTGGGAAAGGCAGCAAAGTAACATATCTGCCTTTGAAGGGCCTGCCTTGTGTTTATATTTTAAAATGTTGCTCTTGTCACTGTAAGTTTGCCTCCTCAAACACTAAATTTGGTGACTTTATAAATTTCTCTGTTTTAAAATGTTATTGTTGAATTCAGAAAAAAATAACTTTGTTTTCTTCCCTAGGGATTTATTTCCTTTGGAATCTTTGGATTAGATAAACATTTAATCATCCTACCTTTCAAAAGAAGGTAAATTAAGTTTTGAAATAAATCTGTATCTGTAAATGTGATGACAAAGCCATTCTATTAAGATACTTATAATGGGGCCAGGCCTGGTGGCTGCCTGTAATCCCAGTGCTTTAGGAGGCCAAGATGGGCAGATTGCTTTAACTCAGGAGTCTGAGACCAGCCTGGGGAACATGGTGAAACTTCGTCTTTACAAAAAAAAAAAAACAAAAACAAAAATTAGCCAGGTGTGGTGGCATGCTTCTGTAGTCCCAGCTACTCAGGAGGTTGAGGCAGGAGGATGGCTTGAACCTGGGAGGCAGAGGTTGCAGTGAGCTGAGATTGTGCCACTGCACTCCAGCCTGGGTGACAGAGCAAGCCCCTGTCTCTCTCTTTCATGTGCGCATGCTCTCTTCTCTCTCTCTCTCTTTCTCTCTCTCTCTCTCTCTCTCTCTCTCTCTCACACACACACACACACACACACACACACACACACACACACACACAGAGAAAGATACTGATGTTTTAAAACCTTTATTAACTGCTAGGAAACCGCTAAATGCCACACAAAGGTTATAAACAATTGCAAAAAAAAAATTGCAGGAACTATTATAAATCCAGCATTGTAATTTGCACTTTAACAAGAATTGATGGACATTGATTTCTATCTATGCCATTAACTATATAAAGTTAAATGAAACTTGAAAATGTCTTTGGAAATGGAAGGAGTAGGTGGTGTGCCCCCATGGTCTGTATTCGATTGTCTTTCTCCTTTGACAACACAATTTCTCTTTTAATCAAATTGACGACTTACAGGAAACTCAAGTTTTCTTTCTAAATTGTTGGGTTTTTTTATCAGCTTAGTGAAGGGTTTCTTTGAATTAAGATCAGGGATTTCTTTATGAAAAATAACAAATACTCCATTGTGGGGTAGGAGGAAGAGGTGGGGACAAATCTTTGTACTTCATGTGTTTTCAAAGTCAAAATTTGTAGAAACTGAAAGTGCTAAAGAAATGTATCCTACCAGCTCTATGAAAAGTGCCTCATAAATGATAATAGTTCTTCCTTCTTCTTTATCATTGTCATCAAGATGTAGTTGTTAGGTTCATAATCATTTCATGAAAGCATAATTGGAAAGTCATTGAACTTAGTTATCAGCTTCATCATGTTGATGGAGTAAAGTAATCAACAATTCTGTTGTCTAGGATGGCTGAAACAAAACTGCTCAGTACTCCAGTTTTGGTACTCTGGTATTTGTCTCTGTGGTACTAAAATAGGAAAGTGATTAAACAAAATATTTGATCTCTAATTTATCTTGGCATTTCAAAACAGTAGAATGTAGAGTAAAGAACATTTATTAGTAGAACCTGAAATGGGTCGAACGTGTCTGGAGGGTTTATAAAATGATTAAGTCTTCCACCCCAGTAAGCTTTGAATAGGAAAATGAATGTAGAATGTTTTTGCTTCTGAGACTAATAATGTCTGGGTATTGTAGATGACAGTTTTGGAGATCAACAGCTTTGGTACAGCCATTTTGATGGGGTGATAAGGCAGGAAGAATTCTCTCTCAGTGATTTTCTTTCCTTAAAAATGGCCTTAAATTTGATTTTCAGATTTGAATTCCTATGGAACAATAAAGAAACAGCAGAAAACAGGGAATCTCCTGTTTCAGAAGAAATAAGAATGACCTGTCAACAATTTATCCATTATCACCGTGACCTCTGTATCCGAAACATTGTCAAAGAAAGAAGGTAAGCAAACTGCCAGTACAGGTTCTAGATAATTATATTTTAAATGATTAATTTTGGATTGTAATGGGCGAAATGAAGTGGCTGTCACTGATTACATAATTATTTTTATATGTGCATGTAAAAGTTAAAGGAATTATGGTCAGTTTATAGTTTCAGAAATGGCATATAAAAGTCATTACTATGATTTTAATATTTTTTAAATGTCATAGCACTTTTGATTGCCATGCAAAATGTGAACACTTCAGTTTAGAATGAACCAAAATGTCATAGAATATTAACACTCCTTTCAAGTTGGCCAGTAGTGTCTCTCAGAAAACTTTGAGATATATTGGATTTAGAAGTGATGTTATATTCCCACCTCACCATTTCTTAACAAATGCAATTGTCAAGAAAATGAAATGAAATTTCTGCCTCTTAATTTTGTTGCTTATGTTTCAATTCAAGTTCTAATCTTTAGTCTGTGACATTTTTATTATTCTAATCCTTAATGTATGAAGTATATAGCAGGTTCTCTTTTAATTTTGGATGAGGAAAAAGAAAATTTATAAATGAAGTATACAGCAGGAAATTACGAACTTTGAATAAATACTATACTACCAGTATTGCTGGTTGTCATAAAAGAGAAAACAAAACAAAATACAAAGAACGAAATACTTTTCTGTCTATAACTGAAAATATGAAATGTATGAAAATTAGAATTAAGGATAATTTATTTACAAATATGCCGCTATATTTAACACACGTGTCATTATAATCAGAAGGTAGCCTGGTACAGAGAGTGGAAAAGGGGACTCAGTGGGTGTGGACTAGTACTAGAACTCAGCTCCTGAACTGCCTCTTGTTGGCTGTGTGACTACAGGCGCGTGCCACCATGCCCAGCTAATTTTTGTCTTTTTAGTAGAGACAGGGTTTTACCAGGTTGGCCAGACTGGTCTCAAACTCCTGATCTCAGGTGATCCACCCACCTCAGCCTCCCAAAGTGCTGCAATTACAGGCATGAGCCACCACGCCCAGCAAAACCCTGCTTTTTGAAATTAAAAAAGAGAACTCCATGTTAGCTCTTTCAGGCCCATTGTGATTGCCAGCTCTTGGGAAGGAAGCATAGCTCTTGCAATTTGCAGGGCTGCCAGGCTGCCTCAGTACCATCTGGCTGCATGGACACCGGCTGGGAGCATGCTGGCCTATTCCCTGCTCCTTTCGAGGATCTATAGCTTGCACAGTGTCACATTCTCTGCCATTTTGTACAGCTCCATGGGTTGCTTTTTTGTTTTTTTGAGATAGTCTCACTCCTGTCACTCATGCTGGAGAGAAGTGGCACAATCTCAGCTCACTGCAGCCTCAACCTCCTGGGCTCAGGTGATTCTCACATCTCAGCCTTCTGAGAAGCTGGAACTACAGGTGTGTGCCACCATACCCAGCTAATTTTTTGAACTTTTTTAATAGAGAGAGTTTTACCACATTGGCCAGGCTGGTCTTAAACTCCTGAGCTCAAGCAATCTGCCTACCTCGGCCTCCCCCAAAAAGTGCTGGGATTACAGGCGTGAGCCACTGTGCCCGGCCATGGGGTGTTATTATAGCTGCCTGATCACAGTCATCAGGAAACAAATATTCTGTTGGTGACTGGAATAGAAGGTGTTAGGCTATAAATAAAAAAATCAACAAGCAAAAAGAAGCTAACACAAACTATGATATTCAGGTTTTTGTTGAATATGGTATTTCTAGTTGCAAGACATAAATTAAGATAACATCACTAAATGAAATACTGATATTAAAATGTTGTAATCTTATGTACTTGAGAAAAACTTTTCATGAGTATTAACCTTTTTTTCTAATTCTTATATAAACTCTAATGAATATTCATTTATGGTGAAATGTGTTAAAATTTTTATTACCTGTTTTTCCTTTCATCTTGATCTTCATCCACCATTTCCCATGTCAAGCACTTTAGGTTTTATAGCCTGAGTGATGCTTGTTGTCTAGCTACTACGCATTTGTGTGGAAATGTACAGCGTTCATGTAATTAGATATTTTCCTCTGTATCTCTCTCTCCTTTGTTATTTGTACATACTTAAGACATCCCATATTTGTATCAAGAAGACAGATTTTCAATACTCAAGAAGTAGATTCACAAAGCACATTTAAAAAATCTTAGATTTGTAGCAAGTTAGATCTCATTTATTCTGTCCTTGCTTCCTAATGAAGCAAATTTCTGACACACACATCAGTAGGATTGTCTTGCCTGGTGAGGGCAAGAAGAAAGGCTACTTGTGGGCACTATGATGTATGTAGTGCATACGTATACATGATGTATGTGGAGCTAAAAAGTTTGATTTGAATAGCTTAGTGAAAATAATAAGAGCTTGTGAAAAATATTTAGTGTTCCCGAGACAAATTACTTAGTATAACTCAAAGTATAAATTATAAAATATATAATATTCAGCTATGTACAGGACAGATCTGATAATAAAAAGAGCATTTCTTTGTAAGTACATTTATATTATCTATGACCTTTTTTTTGGTAATGTTTAAGCATTTCTGTTTTTACAAGCATTACTGGCATATTTTTTCCTCCAGCGGGTCTTTCTAGGGTCAGGAGAGTTAACAACCCCTTTCTATTCAGAACAGTTTCCTTCCTGCCATGCTTTTAACTATCATGCTGTCTTTCCTTCTTTCCTTCTATTTTTCCTTGCTTGTCCTCTATCATGCAGTGCTGATACCAGATTTACAGAACATATGAGTGAATCATTCCTTTGACACAGGTGTGGTGCAAATACTTCTGCTGGAACTTTCTGTGGCTGTGACCTGGTGAACTGGCTAATTGAAGTTGGCCTTGCCTCTGACCGTGGTGAAGCTGTGATATACGGAGACAGGCTGGTACAAGGGGGAGTCATCCAACATATTACCAACGAGTATGAATTCCGGGATGAGTACTTATTTTACAGATTTCTTCAAAAGAGTCCTGAACAGAGTCCTCCTGCTATTAATGCAAGCACTCTCCAACAGGAAAGATATAAAGAAATTGAGCATTCATCTCCACCCTCACATTCGCCTAAGACCTAAATTATGAAGGGGAGAACCCTACATGGGAATCATATTCTAGCCCCATATTCATTACTTTTTAGCTGGGTAACCTTGGGCCAGTTCCAGCGGCAACCTCTCTGAGCCTCAGTTGTCTCTTCTGTAAAATGTGATAAGATGTGTTCCCACCACGTGCTCAGGGTCTGTGATTTTATGTATATGTAAAACACACAGGAAGCTGACTTACGAAAAAGAAAACCAAATTAAAGTTCTGATAATGAATATAATAATTATAGTCATCCTTCAGTATCCACAGGGGATTGGTTCCAGGACTCCTGAAGATCCCAAAATCTGAGGATGCTCAAGTCCCTTATATAAAATGGTGTAGGCCAGGCAGGTGGCTCACGCCTATAATCCCAGCACTTTGGGAGGCCGAAGTGGGTGGATCACTTGAGGTCAGGAGCTCAAGACCAGCCTGGCCAACATGACAAAAACCTGTCTCTGCTAAAAAAGATTAAAAAAAAAAAAAAAAAAAAAAAAATTCACCAGGTGTGGTGGCAGGTGCCTGTAGTCCCAGCTACTTGGGAGACTGAGGTGGGAGTACCCCTTGAGCCTGAGAGGGGTAGGTTGCAGTAAGCCAACAGTGCATCACTGCACTCCAGCCTGGGTACAGAGCAAGATCCTGTCTCAAAAAAAAAAAAAAAAAAAAAAAAAAAGAAAACCAAGCAAAAAAACCTTAGAAGCACCAGTTTTTTAAAAAGTTTATCTTTTCTTTTCTACCCAAATTACTAATCTATGCCATTAAGGAAAAGAATAAGAACCTCCATAAATATTATCTCCACAATCCTTCTGCAGAAGTATAATCTAATCTTTAACTTTTATGCTACAAATAATAATTTGAGCAGATTAATTTGAATTTTATAAACAAAATTATTGCCATATGAGGTATCATTTCTGTATTTGAACAATGCATCATAATGCAAGATAACCCCTCTACTTTATTCCCTGCAGTTAAAAAAGAAAAAACTATATAGCATATAGTTCAAGCCAATATTTAAAAATTCTAAACCTAGGCTAGGCATGGTGGCTCACACCTGTAATCCCAGAACTTTGGGAGGCTGAGGTTGGTGAATTGCTTGAGCCCAGTAGTTTGAGACCAGCCTGGCCAACGTGGTGAATTCCTGTCTCTACTAAAAACAAACAAAAAAAATAGTCAGGTGTGGTAGCATGCACCTGTAATCTCAGCTTACTTGGGAGGCTGAGGCAAGAGAATTGCGTGAACCTGGAAGGAAGAGGTTGTAGTGAGCCGAGATCCTGCCACTGCACTTCAGCCTGGGTAACAAGAGTAAGACTCTTGTCTCTGCCCGCCACCTCCCAACCCCCACCGCAAAAAAAAAAAAAAAAAAAAAGTCTAAAGATTACATTTAGAATTTAGTCTTTTTTAAGTGTTAATGTATAAAAAAATATAATTTTTAAAATTACTAAATGTTGCCTTCTTTCTTAGTCTATTATTTCAGCTACTATATCAAAAATTTGACAGTTTATAAACAACAGAAGCTTATTTCTCACAGTTCTGGAGGTCATGAAGCCCAAGATTAAGGCACCAACAGATTTGGTGTCTGGTGAGGGTCAAATTTCTGGCTCAGAGATGGTATCTTCTTGCTGTGTCCTCACAAAGTAGATGGAAAGAACTGGTATCTTCAACCCCTTATAAGGGCATTAATTCCACTCATTAGGGCTCCACCGTTATGACCTAATAACCTCTCAAAAGCTCTACCTCCTAATACCAACACATTATGGACTGGGTTCCAACATATGAATTCTGGGAGGTGTAGACATTTAGACCATAGCATCCTCAGTTAACTGAGGTAAACTTAAAAGAGATCTTCATTAAATTAAATAGAGATCTATTCACATGTCCTTTGAACATCTTAATTATTACATGTCAGTGCTGGTTTAACTTATTTTAAACATGTTTTGGATATTTATTTAATAATATTTTTAGTGTCTAATATGTAAAAGTTATTTATAAAATAATTTATAGGGTTAGAGCCATTGCCCTTTTAATGCAACAAATACACAATTTTTTATAAACTCACATGGAGGCTGGGCTCGGTGGCTTATGCCTGTAATCCCAGCACTTTGGGAGGCTGAGGTGGGCAGATCATCTGAGGTCAGGAGTTCGAGACCAGCCTGACCAACATGGAGAAACCCCATCTCTACTAAAAATACAAAATTAGCTGGGCATGGTGGCACATGCCTGTCATTCCAGCTACTCAGGAGGCTGAAGCAGGAGAATCACTTGAATACAGGAGGCAGAGGTTGCAGTGAGCTGAGATCATGCCACTGCACTCCAGCGTGGGTGACAAGAGGGAAACTCCATCTCAAAAACAAGCAAGCAAACAAAAAAAACCTGCATGGAAGCCTATATTTATTAATAACGGATAAATTATACTTTAGTGTGCTATTAACCTGTACCAACTTTAAGTTGTGATTAGGGAATGGGGATATTTTTAAGTAGAACTGTCTTGCTGTAGAACTTTCCTTTTTAAATATGACCACATTATGACTCTGAATGCTCAGGGTAAGCCTAAGGCCTCATTGCTGTTACCAGGAGACTTTTATAATTACAATAATAAAGATATTAATTCTCATGCATGCAGACAACTCAAACTCAAGTGGAGAATTTGTTTGTGAACAAGTCATAAATACTTATCTACTGTTATTTGCACGAATGGAATCTGCAACATTTTTTTCCAAGGGAGACACTATAAGAAAATCCTGGATCAGAATGATCTGCAGTTTCAGATAATAAAGGCTTTTAAGAGACATTTTTAGAATTAAAAATATGCTGATTTTATTAAATGAAAATATTTGTAACTGTTACTTTCTCACTGATAAAGCAAGTTTCTCAATAAAATACCTATTTTAACTTGCATTGCTGACATCTTTTCTTTGACTAATCTGAATAATGCAAAAGCCATTATAGAGGTCTTTTCTATACATTCTCAATGTTTTCTTAAGTGGGTTTCCTAAGTTTTATTCTTCATGACTCTGGGTTCTGCAAACAGGGTTTCCTAATTATGCAGTCTATAAACACTTTTATGAATAAGTTGATATGACATTAGAGTCCTTTTCATACATTTCATCATTTTCAATATGTATAGTGACAGCTAGAAAAAAGGTGATAAAAATAGATTAAAACCTATATCTTTTTCTTCAGCAGAGTCAATTTTTTTTTTTCCATTTTTAAATTTTTTTAACTGGGGACCTCTTGATGTGCAGAGTCAATTGTTTTCTTAACTCTCAATGAGTAACTTCATGCCTAGCTTGTGCTTAGCTTTCAATATTTTTGGACGAAGATAAAGAGTATTTGGCATTTTGAGAACAACAATTAGTGATCAGTAAATTTCTAAAGCAAGAAAAATGTGAAACTAGGGTTTTATATTGTTTGTTATGCAGCAGAATACAGCTCTTAGTGTTTACCCCTTCAAATCTCATGTAAAATATTAAATTACTTTAGGCCACTGGACATAGTCATGTGATAAGTGATGACTGGAAAAAAAGTTCAGGATCATAAATGTTATCACCATTCTTCAAGAAAAGATGAGATTATAAATTTCTGCAATTGGTATAATAAAAAGGCTGAATTAATTAATGAAAAAGAGAAAACATTATCTCTGTAGTTTCTGTAGAAGAAACTAACTCTCCAAAATTCTAGGCTACATAGTTATTTCTAGAGCAAAACGTTTGATTCATGATTAACATATATAAACTGATGTTTTCATCAAATATCAAACAAAATAGCCTTTTCTAGAATACTCATATTATTGTCCCAGCTTATTAATAGTAAATAATACACACTATCTAAGAGGTGACAGGTTAACCTGAGACTTATCAAAGGATACCAAGTTGTGCAGATAGGTTGTCTAGCTAATTTCTGCAACTTTACACATCCACAGGCAGAGAAGAGGCACTAAGTTCTTCCCATCAGTCGTTTAACAGATATTTATTGAGCAATCTAGCATGTACCAGACACAATTTGAATACTGAGCATACAACAGTGGAAACAAATATGATTCCTATCCTCATGCAGCTTCTATTCTGTGACAAATAGATGTTAGACATGATTAACCTGTGATCAGGAGTGCCTCTAAGAATATGTAAGAGAGACCTTGTGGTGTGAGGAAAACTTCCCTAAGGAAGTCATTTCTTAGCGAAACTCGAAAGGATGTAAAGAATTACTTATGTAAATGGGAGCACATGGAATGAATAGTACAGACAGTACAGCCCATGAGGAAGGCACATTCAAGGACATGAAAGAGCAGCATAGTAGAAATGTAAAACATAATGGTTGAAGGTGTAATAAGATACAGATGAGGCAGATCAGTGGAATCTTTTTGGCATTTAAAGAGTTTTAGACTCAACAGTAAGAAAATAACCTGAGTAAACAATGGGCAAAAGATCTAAACAGACAACTCACCAAAGAAGATAAACAGATAAAACCATATGAAAAGATGTTCAACATCATATACCTTCAGGGAATTTTAAATTAAAACCAGATACAATTACATATCTATTAGAAGGGCCAAAATCCAAAATTCTGACAATAAATGCTGACAAGAATATAGGGCAACAGAGCTGTTATTCAGTGCTGACAGGGATGCAAAGTGCTGGCCACTCTGCAAGACAGTTTGGCAGTTTCTTACAAACTAAACATAACATACTCTTACCACATGATCCAGCAATTGTGCTCCTCAGTATTTACACAAAATGAGTTGAAAGCATGTCCACACAGAAACCTTCACATGGATATCTACAGCAGGTTTATTCATAATTTTCAAAACTTGGAAGCAACCAAGATGTCCTTCAGTCGTGGTACATTCATACAATGAAATATCATTGAGAACTAAAATGAGCTATCAAGTCATGAAAAGACATGGAGGAACCTTAAATGCATATTACTAAGTAAGTTAAAGAAGACAATCCTTAGAAATCACATACTGTATGATTCTGATGATATGACATATGGAAAAGGCAAAACTATGGAGACAGTAAAAAGATCTGTGGTTGCCAAGGGTTGGAGGGAGAGTGGGATAAATAGGCAGAAGATTTTTAGGGCAGTGAAACTATTCTGTATAATACTATAATGGTGGATACATATCATTTTACAACTTTCAAAGCCCATAGGATGTATCATATCAAGAGTGATCTCTAACATGAACTACGGACTTCAGGTGATATGGTGTCAATGTAGGGCCATCGATTGTAACAAATGGACT